CGGACGCATTCTCGGTGATTTAGTCAGAGGCCCTTATTATATTTAAACATTACTATACATGTAGACACATTATTACTGTGCACCACAGGGTAAAGCAAGTCATTCGTTTGTAAAGATTAAATCACCACTTACAAAAGGGAAATTCAGCGTGGCAAGGGTAATCCCAGAGAGACGTTCTGGAGACTAGAATTCGTTTCTCTGCCCAGATGGAATCTACCAAGGGCAGAAAAAGCTGATGATGCAAGGCTTTGATACACCATGAAGGGATCCATAAAGCAAAACAAATGCTCCGTGCATCTGTGTCATTGCCATTGTGTCCAGGCGAAAGGAAACACCAAAACACACAGTAGTAGTGTGTTGGCACGTAAAGATGTTTGGAGGGGTGGAGGGGTGGATGGGACCTCCCCCCACCCCATTGAGCTGTTCATACTGTGGGTGCCTCTTAGTGACTTTGCTCAGCGCACACCCATGTCGAGTGAAATTGAGCAAGTCAGCTAACCTGTCCAACTCCTCTCCCGTGAAAAGCCTAAGCCTGACGTTGAGATCAGTGCTCACATTTAAACACCGCCGAGAGTGCAGTCAGCACTACGATCATGCCCCAGCGGCAAGTGCTGCACCAACCGGACTATGTGGCTGGACCTGTCAGCAACTTACTTAAAAGTTGAATATGGTAAAGGTGCAGTGATTCATCTTCTTGGTTTTTTCGGTAAAGTCACGTAGAAGGGAAGTAATAAAAGAATAAAAATAAAACATAATAAAATAATTCTCACGACGTTTCGGCTACAACGCAAGCAGCCGTCTTCAGGTGAAGAATGAGACACTGCCAAGCTAGGAGCTTATATATAAGCTGGGTTGGAGTTCCTAGCTTGGCAGTGTCTCATTCTTATATATAAGCTGGGTTGGAGCTCCTAGCTTGGCAGTGTCTCATTCTTCACCTGAAGACGGCTGCTTGCGTTGTAGCCGAAACGTCGTGAGAATTATTTTATTATGTTTTATTTGTATTATTTTATTACTTCCCTTCTACGTGACTTTACCGAAAAAACCAGGAAGAGGAATCCCTGCAGTCACGAAAGCTTTAAATCGAAAAAAGGTGCAGTGCTGCAGTTTCTGCTCGTGCCACTGCTGGCAGAAGGACCTCTACTCGTGGGGGCTCGAGGAGAGTCCCCCTGGAGGGCATTTGGAATAATCTGCCACGCTGGCAATACCTCTTGGAAGAGGTGGGATTACCCACACTTGAACCCACCACACGCACGCTTCATGCCCATCGACTAACCGTGGTGCACCCATTTATACTGCTGGGTGGACAGAGGCAGAGGCGACTTGAGAAACTTGCACGTCGGGACAATGAACCGACGAAGCTCTGGATGGCAAGTCGTGTGCTGACCGCTACCACCACCACCACCGCAGCATCCTACCAAACCAAGTAAAGAAAGAACTACAATCTATAAGAGCAAAAGCCATGGATGCAGATATCACCAAATGCAACAGCAGCATGCTCTACAGTAATACAATACTATGTTTAGCTATAAGAGGGAAGTTTAACATGTGTTGGGGTGAAAGCATACTTAGCGCACGTTATTTGCTGTCCTGTGTACGTGCTTACGTGACTTTTGCCACACCTGCAACAGTGCGTGATCCTGCTCTGTCATCGGCACTGCACTCTCAACGCGATGATTGGTGCAGTGCAAAGCCTTGAACATAGTTCACATAAATGCGTGTACATTATTTTCCTCCAAGCGATTGCTCCACAAATGAAAAGTAAAAACATTCTCCGGGAGTGCGCTGACTGTGGTCACCCAGAAGAGATCGTGGGACAAATAACGACTTCAATGCCCGAGTCACAAAACACGAAAAAGGCATCGCAGTGATCCACTCTTGACGCAATTATCTGGTTCAACCACCTCGATGCAACATCATAGGTGTTGCTCTCCATCAACATCAAGCGTACGAACGAGACCAAATATCCAGGATCATGAGAGGTGGCGGTGGCATGGGGAGGCCTCCATCCAGCAGTGGAATGAACTTGTGAGTAAAGTGTACCTGATCATCACGTTCAAGCTACTGGGATCATAGCAACAATGCTTTAAATGAATAGCGGGATATAGCACAGATGATTATAACCTTCAATGCTTTGCCATGGGAGTTGAAAAGAAAATATCAAATCGTGTGTACCCTGTACTTTCAAGGAGGTTATGAGTTTGACAAAATGGTAACAGGGGGAATCATGTGGACATTGCAATTAGAAATTGATACTTACCTAATACAGCCAATTTGATTTGACAGAGCGTGGTTAAAACGAGTCAAACTCACTTACCTTCTGATCTTTCTGTTCTGGGCAAGAGATGAAGTTGTTGACACGTGGCCAGGAAATGTCTGTTCTCAGAAATCTTGGGGGGGGGAAAGTGGGTTGTTGTACTTTGGGCCGATGATTTGAAAGGGTTGACTCCTCCATGAAAGTTCGTTGGGCGATTCATCCGTGGAATGAGCCCTTCGGTCGGTGAAAAATAGTGAATGTTGTCAAAGTGAAATATCGGTGGGGGTTTTTTGTTCCCGAGATTAAAAAAAAAGTACAACGGTTGAGTTTTGTGTGATATATTATGATTTCATTGACTACACGTAAGAAAAAATATTTGAAGAAGGTTTTTTTTGGACATGCTGCAGCCATCGTGCTGCAGCCACCGTTAGCCCCGAGCGAATACGCAATACAGTAATTAGCCAATTTTTCTGGTACTTAAATCCAATTATTTACCCTCATTTTTTAGAATTCGAAGCAGTTGTGCTTGGCTTGTAGTTAACGAAAGATTATATGTTTGCGTTTTGCATTAAACATCTTGGCCTTTTGGCAGAATCGCGTAAAAAGCAAGCAACTGTTTAAACATAATTGGCGACTGAAACACGAGATAAATAATTCAGCACAGCACTACGTAAATTAGCCAGGGTTGAGCTGTCTTTTTTTTGGTTGCATGGAGCTAAACTTGCGTGTCGCATTTTTAGGGCCAGAGAAAGTGGCTCGCTGTCATAACGCAAAAAAAGGGGGCAGCCATGTCAGATTGCTAGCTCGCCAGCTGTGAAAACACGGCAGCTCTCCCCACTCGAAGCCATCTATTCACCCCTCTTGTTGAAAACGTCAACAAAAGTCCGTTACAGCAGTGCTGTCAAAAGCTTCCAGAAAGGACCACAAGGTTAAATACTGTCGCAAATGATGAGAATTTAAACGATGCGGTCGCTTCAGTGGCATTGTAAATGTTTCTGGTAACGACTTGGCAAACGACCTCGTAGCGGTTTAACACGGAGGCGACCAATATCATCCATAATAGAGGTCTTTGGGTTAGATCGCGCAAATATTTAAACGCGTCGTTAAAACCCGCCACCACCCGACACAGCCAACTGGTAAGAGTTGTCACGTAAACAGAACGTGGCCAATTCGTCACTAATACAGCACACCGGTGTGTTGGAGAGCCAAGCCACAACATTTATATTTGGAGCTGTGCACTTCTAAATCAGCTTAATCACATTGTTCCAGAGAAAGGCCGACCATAATACACGTCACACTACAGTGTTGTGTCTCATTCCAGAGGGCAAACAATGATACCGCATTTATTATATTTTACACAGAGTCAGTCACTGTCCCCATGTTCCAGACTGCGGTGGGGAGTTTTCATCTCAATTGTTCGTCCCTGAGCCGCAGACGAATATTCCACATTCCTACAGTTATAGCCATCCTTTCCGCACTAAGTTCAAACAACTTTGCATGGTCACCAAACGTGCAATTTCTTTCTGACCCTACTGGAAGCTAAAGAGCCTTCACTAGAGGGTATTTGGCCTACTCTTCCATGCTGACCAGACATCTTGGAAGAGCTGGTAGTACCCACACATGTCTTAACGCACTCATGACACAAAATACTTTGCTGATCTCGTCAAGGTGCATAAACCATCATGAAAACTCCGGTCATCCTCGCAGTAGCTTTTGGCTAGCCATCGAACAAAGACTGCCACCGCATCACACGCTTTCAAAGTGCGCTTCTGCGGCCGTCTGGAACGCTCTTCCTTCCGATATTAGGAAGCCACTGGAGCAATGCACTTCTAAATCTAGATTGAAAACTCGAATCTTTTGAACACTATTTTGTTTGCTGTCCTACCACCCCTCTGATTAGCACGGTCGGATACAAACGGTGCGAAAAAAATTCAATGTACACTATACGTGGACCTGCCGATCAGCTACTCGTGGTGTACTAATTTATACTGCTGGGTGGACAAAGGAAGGAGCAATTGCCACGCCGAAAGATCCACGTCTGGATTGCACGACCAGGGTGCTAACAACTGCAGCATTTCAGCATCTTTAACACCAATCCATTCCTGTGAAACACCATTCATTGGTGATAGCGTTGGCTGTGGTGCATAAGCACAAACAACTCAATACATTTCTCAATAACAGTGCTTTAAAAGGAAAAATATAACAATGTTTTTGGGCAACATCCAATCTTCATCGGGCATAAATAAGATGAAGCACCATTGCCTAAAACGTCACCTATTTTATATACAATATATAGTATTTCCCTTTAAGGCTGTGTTATTGAAAAATGTGTTGAGTTTTTTTTTATTCCCGTGAGCACATTCCTCCTAAAACACCATACAGTTGAGCTCAGTGCTGGAGCGGGAAGCACACAATCACAATGTTACGAATTCAAATCCTGGTTGGGGGTGAACTCAGCCCATCATCTCTCAGGGGTCATTAAAACAAGTATAACTTTGTGGGGAAGTCAAGAGTGGTTGTCCTGCACATAGACTACCCCCATTATAGGAATGTGGAATTTCCACCACTAGCTCAGGGCTATAAACAGGACATGAGCACTGCCTCAATGGTCATTTGAGCGGGAAATCACTTTTTTCATGCATTAATTGCACTGGCAAATATATCGCACGTATACCATAGCCAATTTGACTTTTACCATGAAAAACAAAAGCAATTGTTGGAACATTGATCAATACAAGAGGTAATCTATAATGCTCTAGATTTATTAATGTACTTTTCACATATTTTGATACACTTCCAGACATTAAGTATGTGATTAACTGCGATAATGAAAACACACAAACGCAATTGCACACAGGACGGATCATATTGAAGAGAACGGGAAGTAGTGTATATATAAATATGGAAAGTTGTTAAATTATTCATTCTAATAAAACTACCCAACAACGTGATGAATTTCAATTGACTGTTAGTTGCATAAAACTTTCAATTAATTCAGGCTATCATTAAAATATTTCGTATTGTTAAGAAACAGTTCATTTCACATGTTCTCGTAACTTATTCTTTCTCAAAATCAAATTTGACAGGGTACATCTTTTGACAGACCATGCATGCAACATGTTACAATACAATAAAAATATATGCAAGTTTAAAATGTACGATTTAACAAAAAAGTGTTTGTGTAGCACAGTAAGCCCTAAGTGCTCTCTCTAAGCAGATTAGCTTTGGTAGCAAGCGCTGTAAGACCCAATGACAAATAAAAACCACACATTTATTTACCGTAACATATTATACAACCATATTTATTGCACTTTAATAAAAAAAAAACAAATGTAGTTCATAAATTATTTACAAATGTTTACTTTAAACTACCTTGTATTAAAATTACAAATAGATTAAACATCACGGACAAAGCATAATTAGCCGATGTAAAAAAAAGGCAGGATATGAATGCAACATTTTTGCAGTCTTTCCGTATTTCGTCTTAGCGTTTGATTTGTTGTTATTTAATATTATTTTATATATTTATTTTTCATAATACTGCTTTCACTTTAAAATAAATGTGAACATTACCAACCGTGTAACATAATACAAAGTATTTCTTTTTTAAGTTCAGTTTCAGTAAATACTGTATTGTGTGTTGTTAGTAATTGCTCCTAACTTGTCAATTTTTTTAGGAATATCAGGTGATACAAAAAAACACATAATTTAGTTCATTTCACGAGAAATATCCATCTTTAAAATACACGTGGAAAAAAACACTTTGAGAAGAAATGTCATGTTAGTTTAAAACGGCGTGTTGACAAAAATATAAAAATTGATTTTTCTAATCTTCTCTTTCATTTTTATTTCATGGCATGAGGGTCCGTGAACGATTTTTTTTTCCTATCACATTTCCTGGATTAAAATTAAATGTTCTTGAAATATAAGCTTCAGCTATTTACAGCAATGATTCTGATATCAGCAACCGTCTTGATTGTATCCAAGAAAAAAAATGTTGCTTCGTCCTGTTGCCGCGGTGAATAACGTACAGAAGGGGAAAAACTTGCATCCCCGAAAAAGTTGTGTCTCCGAAAATGCAATCACGATCTGGTTCACAACATTGAGAAAACCTACGGTAGGCGTTACCATCCACGTTTGCTTTTTATTTTGTTCATTTTAAAAACAATTCGATTCTCTCCACACAGACGTCTGTTTGGAATAATAAGAATTGCCAAAGGTGCCATTCCTCTTCGTAAAGAATCCACATGTGTCCTTTCATGTTTTATCGTCATATGACCGCAATTCTTTTTTCCTCCCCTGCGTTTCAACCCATTTACAGGCAGAGACTTTTTTTCCCTTCTCCGTGTTTTTTGTCTTTTCTCTTCACAAATCTTTGCAGGACTCACAGCAGCGCAGCTTGTACATCATCAGCTGGCAAAGTTTCAGCCGTTTCACCAGGTGACAGTACCTGGTTGTGTCTTTACATTCACCTGAAAAATGGAAGAGAAATACACAACAAAGGCACATGTGTCAGCTTCCATGCACCCCACACTTGGATTCTTCCTGTATACAAACTTTTGGGGCAAGTGCTGTTAGCGAGCGCCTATGAAGGCTGGCGTGGTGCACGATGAGGGTGATGTGGCCACCAGCACCACCGCTCGGCTGCCTTTGCCTCCGCAATGCTGATATTTGCACGCCACACCAGGCTGAGTAAACCTAGGGGTTTACCGAGGGGTTGACTCAGCCTATGGGTTTACTCAGCTCAGAACCAGTTTCAATATTTGCCACCGACGTTGTCCGTGGCCGGGAATTGAACTCGGGTCGATTGGTTTGTAGTGCAGCGCTCTAACTACGGCACCACCGCTCAACAACAACAACCGCAATTCGCCACTAAGTGGCGGTGACGTCAACACGACGCTTGTGCCAGGCTATGTGCACGTTGAGACCACGTGAAGTACCACTCAACACACACACACAGACACACAAAGATGGGCACACGCCAGAATCACTACGTAGTGACATACGAGAGCGTGATTTTAGCTGTGGGTGCAGGGAACAGTTTTGTGTTTAATAGTTTACGACCCACAAAAGGGTCGCCGCAGTATACATACACACACACACAATACGTGCAATGCAAAAACAAACAATCCACGCTTTTTTTACTGGTGTGTGATAACAACAACAATAACAACACAGCAGCGCGGCTATAAAGCCGAGCTTGCCGGCTCTGCCGCCCTTGCACCTTTCTCGCAAGGGATGATGTTGCAGCGCTGCCAAGTGATGGGCTTGGGCTGCCAAGCGCAAGAATGCTCGCCGCCGCCGCCGCCGCCACCGCCACCGCCGCCGCCGCCAGGGGCATCGGCCGTGGCTCTGGCGCACTCCAGGCGGCGCGACTGGAAGCCGTGGCTGCCGCACGTGGCCGTGCACTCGCTCCAGCGGCCCGGGAGCCACTCGCCCGCGCACGCCTCCGCACTGCAATTCTGGCTCAGTGCCGGCCTGGGACACGCGCGCACAGACACGCGCGCACAAAGATAAAGATCACCCGTATAGCCTTCACAGACTGCGGGGGCAAGTGCTGTTAGCGAGCACGAGCGAGGGGGTGGGTGGCCAGCACCACGCCCGACCGCCTTTGTTTCCCCAGTGGCGATGTTTGCACACCGCACCAGGTACTCGTTTGAGGCTGAGTCGACCTAGGGGAGTCCCGGGACCGGTTCAGATAATCGTCACTGGTGTTGGCCGCGAGCGGGAATCGAACCCGTGTCGCCAGGTTCATAGCGCAGCGCGCTAACCGCTACACTACCGCTCCCCAAGACAAAGACAAACACACACACGCGCGCACACACGCGCGCACACACGCGCGCGCACACACACGCGCACACACACACGCGCGCACACGCACACACACAGGCGCGCACACACACACGTACACGCGCACACACGCGCGCGCACACGCACGCATCACACACACACGCGCACACGCACACACACACGCGCGCACACACGCGCACACACGCGCGCACACACACACGCGTACACACACGCACGCACATACGCACACACGCGCACACACACGCACACACGCGCACACACACAGGCACACACACACGCGCACACGCACACACACACGCGTGCACACACACACACGCGCACACACACACGCGTGCACACACGCACACACACACGCGCACACGCGCACACGCGTGCACACACACACGCGCACACACACGCACGCACGCACACACGTGCACACACACACACGCACGCACACACACGCGCGCCCACGCACACACGCGCCACATGCCCGAGCGCCAACGTGAAACTCCTCGAGTTTCTCAAAACGTTGCAACAACCAAGAAGGGATCTCGATTTAACGGCAGTTACGCACCCCCCCCCCACCACCTCCGCCTCTTGCGCAGCCAGCCAGGGTAAGCGGCACACGTGCATAAATGTCTCTATCTAAAACATGGCAATGTTTCTACAACGTGTACCGAGTGGAAACTCATAATAGTGTGCGATGTTTTAAAATAAATGAATAAACGTGCCAGTGGATTCATATTACCACAGCTCTCCTGTGTGCGTTTGGGTTGCGCCGTGTGCTGTTTGGCAAACCGAAAACACATCAGAGAGCTATAGAGCACCAAAAAAAACGATGCAGTTAAGTTCAATCAGTGCAGCTCAGCATTGTGAGCTCAGGATACATTTCTCGGATGCTGAATGAGACAATTGTGCGAGAAAGTACTTGAGTGTCATACCCAACGACGACACTACCATGATGACAATGATGATTATGTCATAAAGCAGATATTCATAACAGAGGAAATCATCGGGGGCGTGCTGAGATGGCATCTTGTGGAAATGTGGTGCAGCCTTCTCAGTGAACAAAACTTCATCGTCGACCTTCCGTGTACCAGTGTAATAACACGTTGTGCAAATCCATTCCCTCTGCATTCAACCTAACGCGTTCCATGAAGGGGCACTTTTTACACGCTTTTAATTAACTCACTTTATCTCTTGTTGTTGTTGTTGTTTTCGTTGTTGTATCCTCAAATCTTGTAACTCAATTTTAACCAAATTCCCAATGTGGTATCTATTGCAAACTTTGTATACTTATGTCATACTGATGACAATACTATATTCTATCATAAAAAATAAAATATATATTTTTAAACATTCTTTTTTATATGTTATGTTTCGGCTTGGGTCTAATTGGCCATGCTCAACTGACGTTGGCTGTAAATGACCACAGTCCCTTACGTTATGGCAAGCTTCGGGGCCACTTCCTGGAGTCGTGGAGTTCTGCCATTACTAGTACATTTCATAAAAGCGTGTTTTAAAAAAAGCTTGTTTTTAATATTACTTATTGTGTTTAGTTTGTTGTCCTTCCCCCCGCACCTCTGATCAGCACGCTTGTCTACGTACGGTGCGAGAGAAGTTCAACATACGTATACACACACAACTAGACCCCCCCATATTCCCCCCTCGCTTTAGCTGCCCTGCTTATGAAAAGCAGCAAGTGAGTTCGCCGGAGCATCAGTGGCAAGGGAGGCTTCACCTGGAGGATTTGTCACAGGCACTGTCAGGCACGAGGGTCCCGTTCGTAGTGCGGCAAGAGACCCGTCGATGTTTGGTCCCTGTCATCCATCCCACGCAACGCCCGGTGCACTGTCGAGAAAACAACGCGGTCCGGTCACCAGAGTCACTCTTCGGAAGCCCTTGAGACTTGAGCAGAGACCAAACACACAGCTCAATGCCACCGTCTGTCATCGGCATTGCCTCAGAACGGCAAATATACACGGGGGTCTAATTGTTTTTGGACACCGGTCCTTCCCCGTGGCAGGGTGAAAAGGGAAGTTGGAATATTTGTGGACAGAATTGTACAATGCGATGCCACTAAAAGGCACTTGCTACGTGAACGGTTAAACTCGCGTATCACACTCATATATCGCGTATAGTCACAGATAGTGGATCGGTGTATAACAGTTGTTAACACACTATACGACGAATCCGGTAACCTGAGTTAGATTCCGGACAATGGTTAACATTCGTGGTGAGTGATATCATCTGAGCTTGTCCTGGGCCCCTCTTCAACTAACCTGCGCTGACGAGTGTGGTGAAGTATGGTCAAACGAATATCCATGACCCGGCATGGCGTGGGGAGGCCTACATCCAGCAGTGACTTGACAAAGGGCTGTGAATTTTATTTTTGCTCATTGTGTGATTATAGTTATTTTAATTTCAAATGAATTTATTTCGCCTACTCATCCACGATGAAAGAGTACGCCAAATACCCTCTAGAGGGGCTGTCTAGAGCGCCCTCTGATGGAGGCTTTTCTGCCAGCAGAGGCATGAATAGGCAATTGCAGGGATGCACCTTTACCATTATAGGTAAGATAAGAGACATTTCTCTGTGATCATTGTCAACAGCTCTAATATTCTTGGTTCTTTCGGTAAAGTCACGTAGAAGGGAAATAAAAATAAAATAATAAAAATATAAAACAATATATATTTTTATTTTTTATATTTTTTTATAAAAAATAGAATTTTTATTTATTTTATTATTTCCCTTCTACGTGACTCTACCGAAAGAACCAATAATATGAATCCCTGCAGTCACGAAAGCTTTAAATCAAAATTTAACAGCTCTATTGTTCACACCTATGCCACAGTATATTTCAAACAAATAAAAACAAGTGTAAAAAGCGCTCAGCCTTTGTGCATTATGCAAAAAAGCATCATCATTTCCTGCAGAAGTGCATTGTGGTCGTCTTGTCTTGGATCACCACGATAATACATTTGAGCAAACGTCCCCGACCGACAGGCAGCAGCGACACAAAGATGGACAATTGTACACCGTTTTACTGGTAGGGTCCTCCTGGTTACACCAGCCCACAGGGGATTATTGTGTCCATCCGTCGTGGAGGAAGGGGCTGGGTGGGGAGGGAGGGGCTGGGTGGGGAGGGGAGGGTGGGGAGAGGCTGGGTGGGGAGGGTGGGGAGGAGCTGGGTGGGGAGGGGCTGGGTGGGGAGGGTGGGGCTGGGTGGGGGGTGGGAGGGGTGGGGCTGGGTGGGGAGGGGCTGGTCACCCCGTGGTGCCCTTATAAAACTCAACGTTTAACCTACTCATGCCGGCTTGTGCCCGCCCTCACAATCGGCCATATTTGCGGAATACACCACGCCGCCGTTGACCCTGGCCATTGACCGAGCAACCCAACGTTCCTACCAGGAGTGTGTTATCGCCTTGTTTACGCGACCGGTCGCTTCTCACCATTCCCGGATTTGTCCGCGGTGCATCGTGGTGCAGCCAGTACCTGCCCCCAGTCGAGCGCCACCCAGTGAGGGCAGTCGTGCGTGGCGCACGCCTCCTCCTCGGTGGGTCGCAGGCCGGCGTCGTGTTCGCACAGTTCCACGGGCAGCGGGGTCACCTCTCCGTCCGAGGACAGCATCTGGCAGGTGGCGCGACGCAGGCGCATCCCTCCTCCGCACGAGCGTGAGCAAGTGCCCCATTCCTCGACGCTCCAGCTGGAAAGGAACACAAATTCATTCGCATTTTTTTTTTTTTACATGGGAATGCCCATTGAGCTGCGTGTTCTTTTCTCAGAGGTGTGCCTGGCCACACGTTAATTTGTTGTTGTAGCTTTGTTGACACCCCCCCCCCCCCCATCCTGGCCTCCTGGAGATGTGTGAAAAAGAGGTTCATAGCTCGTCGGATTCCTCCGGTCTAAATAAAGATTCTGACTCTGACATGATAGCTCATCGAAGCGGCTTAGTGTCATCATACGTGGGAATTTTCTCGTAGCCGAATAAATCGAAAGGCATGGTTCATAAATGCGGAGGAGGGCAAAAACCGGAGGAACCTGGAGAAAAATCTACGCAACCACCACGAGCGGAAATAATACGCAAACTCCAAATTCACAGGCGTTAGGCGTTGGGTTCTGTATCAAACCCATAACCTTCTTCATACCATGCGAGAGAGATAACATATCGCCACCCCGAAAGCCATTCGTTCAAACACCTATCTGGAGAGTTATATAGACCTTGCCATCGCTTGTTCGGACCATTGCTGGGCCTACATGAGAGGAAGCTCTCGAAAGCTTCTCTGGAGGGTTATTTTGGCCTCCTCTTCCATGCTCCTCAGATATCTTTGAGCAGATGGGAGTACCATAACAATTTATGGAAAATCAAGTGAAAACACAAATTGATTGAACACAATCATTTGTCTGTGATCTATTTGTTTATGACCGGGCTAATACCATCTACTCACCACAATCAACAGTTCAATCAACAGGCGGCCGTAACTTGGACTCGAACCCAGGTCCTGAGCTCTTCTAGTTTAGCGTTCCTGACTCGCGAGCCACCCGGCCACTTGGAGTGGGAGATGGCAGCCTTCGCATGGCCCACTCTCATCTTCTTGGTTCTTTCAGTAAAGTCACGTAGAAGGGAAATAATAAAATAATAAAAATAATAAAATTATTCTCACGACGTTTCGGCCACAACGCAATCAGCCGTCCTCAGGTGAAGGTGAAGACCAGGACGGCTGCTTGCGTTGTGGCAGCCGTCCTCAGGTGAAGACCAGGTCTGTCTTCACCTGAGGACGGCTGCTTGCGTTGTGGCCGAAACGTCGTGAGAATTATTTTATTATGTTTTATTTTTATTATTTTATTATTTCCCTTCTACGTGACTTTACCGAAAGAACCAAGAAGATGAATCCCTGCAGTCACGAAAGCGTTAAATCGAAATGGCCCACTCTGCCAGGCGAGAAGTCGCGACCAACGGCATCGACGCGACGACCGAACATCGACCGTCCGTGTCCCGGCCCCCAGAGCATTTCTGTCGATGTGATTGGCTCACCTTGGTGGGCAGTCTCTCCGGTTGCACTGCTGCGGTGCAGCTAATGACGGCTTCGGGAGGCCTTGGCAGAGAGAGGCGTCCACTTCCTCCAGGTCGTCTCGGACGCAGCGCAGACGCCAGGACTGCGCGCCAGTGTTTCCACAGCTTGCCGAACAAGGGGACGGCTCCCCCGGCGTCCAGCTCGATTCTGGGAGTGAACCCAGATATGCCGCTGATATTGAAAGTAATTATTCTTAATCTAACCCCTTAGTGTCAAAGGAGCTTGTTAACTGTTCCCTTCAGTGCGGCAAAGAAGTTTGGGATCTGAGCCCAAAATGTATAAGCCAGCAATAATGTTGTTTATATGAACCATAGGATAAGTAAATACTGTAAATGATAACTAATGCACTTTTGGCCTTAATTTTAACAATGCCAAAGAACACTGTTAAAATACAGAGAAAATGCCTCTCTGTAATAAGACCAACGGCAGTATCCTTGAAAGGATTACAGCAGCCAAAGATAATGAGTCAGGCACTGTGGGACTTTAACTGAGATGGTGAGGATAAACAATTGCTTTGCAAAAATATTGTTCTTGGTGTATAATACTGATATATTCGATTAAATTCCAACACACACATATATTTGTACACCATAATAAACAGCAAAGGAATTTCACAGTTGCATATACTATACACATGTTATAATTCCCCTCGTTAACGATGATGATGATGTATGTGCTTTGTTCCAGCTGTGAAATGTAAGAGCCTCCCACATTGATGCTCACCACCAACAGCGATGTGCAGCGTGGCGGTCAAGGTGCCAGCCTCGTTCTGGGCCACACAGCGCACGGGGCCATCCCAGGGCCCAACAACACCGCGTAAGCGCAGAACCTGCTCCCCAGCCAGGAGCTGGTACGACAACCCAGGCAAGCTCTGCACAGGCTGGCTGCCCAGGTACCACGTCATATTGGGCTTGGTGTTGCCTGCAACCGGGCAGCCTGAGGAAGAGAAAAAAAAGAAAAACAACAACAGACAAAACACAAGTGAAGGTGAGAAAGGCGAAATGCAGCAATCGCATCTACGGTTAGCACGGTTGGCAAGGGACGGTGCAATAGAAGTTCAACATACTCGTCTCATTTGTAAAAGGTAAAAAAAAAGCTAAACATGCGGCCCTGAAATTTACTTGCTCATACCACCGCCGGCGGAAGTGGTTCCCAAATACAACGCTTCAACGCTGGCCAGGGGTTGCAGTCGTCACATTTTACACGCTTCAAGCAATAATTGCTGATGAACTGTCTGCAGTGGACCAATTTCGACTGCTGGGAAAGAAAAGAAAACTTGCCCTGTTGTTTCAACTGCCACGCCATGAGAACGAACTGAACCAGTGGCCTCTGTATTGCAAGTCCAGTGAGTTAACCGTTAAACGACGGCAGCTTCTGTACTGCACCCAACTGCCTGACTGCAGGATGGAATATTTCTCATCCTCTGTCTTTCCATGCACAGCGTGGCTGTGGAACTCAATTCTGTCTCTGAAATAACACAATAATCCGATGCCTCGTTTCCATGACCAGTGGGGAAACTGTGTGGGTATTGTACTGGAACAAGACTCGGCTGAAGAGCCTGTGATCCTAAATCTGGCCAGACTGATCCCAATCACAATGGATAATTGACCGCTGGGTTAGGGCACGTAATTACATCATCATTACGTGGCCTCACCCAAAACGCCAATTGTGTTTCATGAATATTTACTGCGAAACCCTCTGTGTTATGATCCCAGCCACACATCATCATTACAAAGACAAGACTGTGTTGTTCTATGGGAGATGGAGCCTTCCTCAGCCAAGATCCATGACTGTGGAATTCCCTTCCATGGTCCATTCGGGATTCTTAGTCTGTTTCACTTTTTAACTCACGTCTTAAAATGTACCTATTTGTACAGGCTTTCCCTGTAACTTAAGATTGTAAAACCAATTTGATGTCTTGGCTTTTCCTCTTGTCTGATTGTATTACTGTGTAATTATTATTTGCTTTAATCATAGTTTGTTCTAAATTTGATTGGCTTCCAGGTGTGGTTGTCCTTGATATTGTTATTTATTAGTTTTCTTTTTTACTTCGATGTCATCTATGCTTGTGAGTGTAGTTTTTATTTTTTTTACATACAGCGCTTTGAGATATTTCAATGTGAAAGGTGCTTCATAAAAAAATGTTATTATTATTATCCACAGTGCCACAGCCGTATGCTACCTTTTGAACTGGATCGCGGTATTTTTTCTTAGCTCGACTGACCCTGGCACCAGTATTGATGTCACAGGGTCAACATGGAAATGAGACACTTAGTTTAACTTCCTGGTTGTGTTAGTGATAGAAGTGCATAGCAAAACGATCACAGGACAATGTTGTCCACTCAAAACAGTCTCAGCAAAATAATTCTGAAAGCAAAAAAAAATTCAAAACAATTGTCAACATACGCTGCCTTCGAAGAAAAAATATATATAACCTGTGACTTTTCAGGTAACGGGCATTCTTCACAGCATAGCATTGTATATGTAAACCTTAGCCAAATCATCCTTGCATTACATTCTTCGGAATTAGTCCAACATTCCAAGTATGATCCTCCCTACAAACAAAAGTCTTGAAAACTACGTGAGGCTTGTCTGGATAAATAATGAGCACTTTATGTATAAGTTGATTTAAAATTCACATTTAACGTAACATTGTTTAATACTGTTTGACATGAATCCACTCCAAAAAATAAAACACATCCTGGCATATTTTTATTCCAAACGAGTGACGCATTCTTATTTATTAGCAAGGAAAACACTCACCAGCGAACATTCATCATTCATTAGGGTTGGGTAGGTGATAAAAATTCTATGCAGTAAAATAAATGTTCAAGTATCCCTGTATAGCTGAGTCTTAACAAGCTAACATTTTACATCTCTGTGAGATTAAAAATGTTCCTGCTTTAAGACTCCCTCCGGGGAAATTACACACTACCAAGAGAAAACGGACTATTTTTATGGAATCTCTTGGCCACTCATATAAAATGTTTGCATTGTGACCTATTTCTGCAGTTGGCTCAGCCAATGAAACACTTTTAAGAGATGGGAAGCCAATTGTATAATGCAATGGATACAACATTTATGGAAATGTACATTTTATATAGTTTAAAAATATATAAATATAAATGTGATTATTTGGCGATATTAAATGCATGTGCTTTGCTTCTCAAAGAAACAGAAAAAAAACATCTAAACATATTTAGGATTTTGTGGAAAGAGTGAGCCACTGCAAAGTCTTTCAAATGGAAGGTTAAGATCAACATCTTATGAAATAGAAAATGATTGCGTAAATATGTTTTCTTTAAATGTTCAGCAAAGTTGCGCAGTATTGAAATAAGTTGTATAACTGAGTAGAAAGTAGGTGCAACACAATGTCATGGGCATTTCAATTATACGTTCTGGTATGCCATATTTCTATCGGAAATAATGAATATTTCACCAGGAACATTTAGGAAATGTATCATAAATAAAGCATTGTAATAATAATTAATTCTACAATAATAAAAATCTCACTGGCTCATGACCAAAAAATAATAAAACTGTATCAATTCATAAGTGTGCACTGAAAAACTGGAACTGGTTACATTCAATGGAAATTGAATCTGAAAGGACTTTATTTTTTTATATACATAAGTAACTTTCAAAGGGTCCCAATTGCATGCCCTCATTTTTCTGTTTCATATTAAATTCAACAAAGCAGTCGTTCCAGCTGGAAATCCACGTCCTCTGCAAAATAGTACACCGTTAACTGGACATGCTAATGAGCTGCTCGTGACCTTTATTTAGAACAACGCGAGAGAGCCAACTGAGACAAAGTCTGCTTTCTTTTTTTGCAAAAGGATACCAGAATTCGACATCAACTTTATTATGCATGATATATTCTAAATATTATTACCTTAAGTATTTATTTTTGCTTTACTTTTTTTCCCACGTCATTTAAATTTTGTAGACTACACGTACGTGCATATTTTGAAGTGGACAAGTGCACACACAAAAACTAATTAAATAACTATCCATTGAGAAGTGAACTCAGAAATAACGGTACACGTGTTGTGTGCGATTTTCACAATGATTTCAGGGGCTTAAACAATGCATTCTCTCGTACTTTGTACCTTTCTTCTACTGTGGACTCCTATCGTGTTTCTGTATTGTTTGTTGTTGTAGCGTTTTGACCAGCCCCTACTGGACATCTGTGAAAAAGAGCTTTGTAGCTCCTCGGATTCCTCCAGTATGAATAATTATTCTGATTTCTGATTTTATCAGCATCCAGAAGTGGAGGTAAAAGGAATGGATATTCCCTCCCTGTCCTACGTTAGATATCTTTGTTCAAAACCAAATAAACAAACGAGGCTATTCTTCAATCCGGGCAGCTCGCGGCAGAAATTCAAACAACCGAGGAGGTAGCTGAACCACTGGGGATCCATCCAGAGCTCAAATGCCGCTCATTACTCATGGTCATGCCAGACCGGCGGCTTGATAGATTGCACAAGTGGGATGCGAAGTCTTAGGAAAACAAAAATGTACCGGGTTGAGATACAATCTGATGTACTCTGTGGGGCATCGATTCTGAAACGCGATCCTCTCGTCACGCAATGCATTTCATCTTTTTCTCTTTTGCCTTGGTTCCATTTGGAGCGACTATTTTTCTGGTTGAATGTGGACAGCTGAGCATATGGGGCTGAGTCGGGGTTATTTGCAGTCTTACATTGCACCTTGAGGGGTACAAGCTCCATGATGATGCTGAGTGACAAGGAGATTAGAAACTGTTTGACTGCCTACAATTTTGCTGGAATGCAACAAGGTTACCATTTGCAACAATCCTTTTGTCAGTTCACACATTTGTTTAGTAAAAGTTTGGTGCCAATGTGTTCTGCCGACCCACCTTATTACTGATAAAAAATAAGTCGAGCTTCTACATAAATAAGGCTAGCTTCTGCAATGTGTGTCTAACTACTTGAATAGCAGCCTACATTTGTGTGTAAGTGGAAAATGGCACAATCATTGCCTGGGTGCCCTACAGGCCGGATGACAACATAATTTTAAACAGTAAAAAAAATTAAAAGCTTAAAACAAGTAGCCAGTTTCATGAATATCCTTACACTTTTTTCATTTCAAATCAATTTAGATAAAATAGATTAATATATAATTTATTCAAATTGAATCGATGAAAACAGTTTTGAAATACGGGTCTCACGACCCCAACGAGATGGATATTCTGGCATCACATTGGCCAATTTAAACCACTCCCAGTAAAATGCCAAAATTAAGCGAAAGGAGGGCAAATAATTCCGCCCCTGAAAAATTATTCTTCCTTCCCTCCACCACCCAGCTCCCAGCCTAGCTTCCGTGACGCCGAAAGATAGCTACCACAGCAAAGATTCGACCCGCCAATTGCCACTGAATAAAGAGTGTCCACTCACCAACAATGAGGTCGTGTCCAGTGGGCACATTGAGGCTGGTGTCTCCTCTGAGTGACACCATCCCGGCGTGCTCATGTTCCGCTGTCCCAGAAAGCAGGGCGGCCACCTCCACGGAGTGGCGGTGAAATCGTGGAGGCTCTGCAACATCGCGACAGTGCGGGGGTTGCCATTTGATTCAGGAATCGATTATTTAATGTGTGACGTTGCGAATGAGACAACCCTGGTCTTTTGAGTTTGCGCTTGGTTAAACAATATAAATTTGAAAGGTAGTGGCATAAGTAGTTTGAGGCGTCATGTGGAACCCCAGTATACAAAACACAGTCGAATAAAAAATTACGTTGAATGCCTGTATCATGAGCTGAAGAATCAATATTAATTAACAAATCGATGCACCATTACAACGACGAATTAATGTGTATTTCAGATGAAACTCCATGCACTGTATCGGCACTTGTAACGGATACAACAACACCCGTCTAGTTCGGACTGTTTTTTATATGTTCAGCCTCGACTTGTTCACTCCATTCGGTTCAATGACCAGTCTTCGATGCATCGGTTCATGCTTTTATTTTGAACGTAAGAATAGATTTCAATCGGCCAAAACCGATGCATCTTTACACACCTAATTATGGGCTCACCCACTGCGTGGAGTTTATTACACAAATTAAACATGTAGTTTGTTCTCCTTTAATGCAGTAGTTGCATTCCTGAACAACACCACGTTATGGAAAAATCGCGTTATGATAAATAAGATACAATATAGGGTAAAGCACAGTCCGCGATAACACGTTAGATGCGTATGCTGGCTGAACAAAGACCGAGGCGCGTGGGTAGCATCTAGAAGCATCCAGCAGCATCCCTCCTTGTGTGATGCCACGCCGGGCCAGCCGTACAACTGCTTATTCCTACTCGCGAGACATGGTTCTGTTCATTCAATCGCGTTATATCCAATTCGCATGCACGTTATAAAAAATATGTTCCCTAATACATTCATCGAGCTATATAAAATTCCCGTTATGGAAACACGCATTGTAGGAGTACAGACTGTATATTATAACGAGGTCACCGTGTTTCAACAAAAAAGACCGGCGCGGAGGTACACACCGAGAACGATGAGGGTCGTGCTTTCCAAGACGGAGCCAAAGGGACTGCTGGTCGTGCACGTGTACACGCCTTCATCCTTTGCGGTGACGTTCACAAGAATCAGCGAACCATTGGCGAGCGAAGGCAATGATCTCTCCAAGTCTCCCCCACCTCTCGTCCATGCAGTATCGACTGTGGATGGCCCTGTGGAGGAGGACAAACACGGCTGCACGTTACAGATGATCTCTGCGCGATGGCGAGATGTTAACTACCCCGGCTGGTATACAGGAGGTCGTGGGTTCGATCCCGACCCTGATGGCTGTATATTTGGAGGTTGCGTGTTCTCCCCCATGGTCGCGTGGGTTTTTCTCCGGGTCCTCTGGGTTTTTTTCCCTCCACTATTAAAATCAACATGCATTTAGAGCATTTGACTGCTGTAAAATGTCCACGTGATAAGCCACTTCGTTGAGCTATCATTTGTGGCAAGGTCGCTTCTGAGAAAGAGTGATATAGCTCAGTGGGCCTTACTTGGTAAAATTTAAATAACATAAAATATTTTATTTCACATATTTCATCCAACTGAACTACTGAGCTGTATTTATATTATATATATATAATTGCTGGATACTGACTCAGCACTGCGCCCACTGTTTTTCTGGTAGGATGGAGATGGTTGAGTTTTATTTGTGTTTGTTTACCTTTCTTGTACTTTTCACTCCGATCGTGTTTTTGTATTCTTTGTTGTTGTAACGTTCTGACCCGCCCCGACTGGACATCTGTGAAAAAGAGCTTTATAGCTCATCGGATTCCTTCAGAATAAATAAATATTCAGATTCTGATTCTGCTTGTGAGTTACGACGTATTTAACGGTCCCATCGCCAGGATAATCTGCACTTATGTAACCTCGCTGAAGGGAGAAAAAAAGTGTGGACTTGAAAATACGACGATTTCTGTTTGACTGTTTGTGGGAACGTCTCCGAGTCATCCATATCTAGGAATTTTCATGGGGGGGGGGGGTGTCCAGACATCTACGCCACCCGCGTGTGACCTGGGAGAGCAAAATCCACATGCATTGGGTACTTTTTTTCGTCCCGACAGAGTAAAATGGACAAAAGCTACAGTTGATTCCATTTAAACGGCCACCAACACACACAAACAGAAACGTGGTGTATAGTTTGTGATTACTGCACTGACCTTTAGAAGTCGGAACGAATTTGTCTTTAAAATGTGTTTTGGGACAATGCACCACCTATGAAGCAACCCCTGACCCTTGTGCATGCCAGTATGGTCAAAGGTGTCCATTTCATTGCAGTGTTGGGAATGTCTCTTGACCGTAAACCTTCCTCGGGGACCTTTTTTTTGCATTAACTTACACAACTGAAAACAGAACCCGAATTGTGCTCCTTTCACATATGAAACACGAACGAGTGAATGAACGCGACATGACATTTTCTCGAAAGCATCTAAAATATGTACGCTCATAAAAATCACATACTCAATCAAGTCTTTCGTTTTATTAGGCTTGACAAAAAGAGTCACGGTCACAGTCGAATCTAAATCCGTCACAGCCAAACAAACATTCAGTACTCTTTCGTGTGCTCGTAAAGTAAGCAAGCAATTTATGGCCGAGAGCTCTTACTGTCCATATGGCAGCCCAGAGTGACGTTTGTGCCAGCCCGGACCCGGACCATGCCTCCAACGTTGACCTCAACGAACCTCGAACTCAGATCGGTGATGACCTCCCTCGTAGTTTTAATCAGAGAGTCTGCTGTTGATTAAAACAACATCCGTCGAAACAACAACCGAACAATTACACGTCGACATTTTTTCTTTTATTATTCATTTCATCAGCGAAGCAAAATGTAATTAAGAAAAATAAATGCCTTGAGTCTTGTCCAGAAATAACATCCATATTAATATTATATACAAAGTATGCATGTATTCATAATGAGTGCATAATTGAATTTCGCCAAGAGTCAAAGTAATTTTCTGCTCGAATGACCAGGAAATGAGGCAGTACTCATCTATTGCTCATAGCCTTAAACCAGTGAGTGGTGAAAATTCCGCATTGCTGTGGTGGTGTCCAAGCTATCCACAGAATCACTGTTAACTTTGCCACGAAGTGGTGCTCACATGAAATTAATATTTTTATGCTTTACAAATACCCGGGAGGTTAATGGAATGCCCACACTGCGAAGCGATGTTGCACAGCCAAAAGAAAATCACCGACATTGACAGTCGCGTTAAAATGGCCAGTGCATACATTTCTTCTTGAATTACATAATTTTCACGTGTTCGAGCTTTGATGTACTTCCCACTGCAAGTACAACGTTGCCAAGTGAGCGAGAGAGAGAGAAAGAGGGAGAGAAACGTGAGCTTACCAGTGATGGTAACGAGGGAGGACAGGGTGTCCGTGCCGGCCCGGTTGGTAGCCAGGCAGGTGTAGAGTCCACTGTCAGACTCGACGGGCAGTTCAATGCGCAGGCAGCCATCCGTCTGCTCCGAAACCCTGCAAGCAAACTGCGGACAACTATTTATTACCGGTGACAGAGTGTTTATCTAGAAAATGATTATGCACCTGTGCGCAAAGCCCTTTTCCAAAATGGTTATTGTCAAGCCCAGAACAATGAGTCTGCATAAGACGTGTGGTATGACTTGAATCGTTTTTAAAGCAGCATATGTGCTCCTGTTAAATAGAATTAAGCATTTTGAGCCATGTGGGAAGACCATACATATATAAACCAAGAGCAGTTACATTCATGCTTTTGCTGTGCACTATTCAATGTTCATTTAACACGGTTGCGATAAATGTATCTCTTTCCAATTTTTCTTATATACATACAAAAAGAGTAAGCGCGCTTTGGCAGTACTAATCAGTAAAATGGAAGATAGCCGCGGTCGAGACGATGAATGGAATGGCAGTCAAAGGAATTAAGTCGCCAAAGAGGACATCAAAATCAGCGACGGAGCACTGAGCTGGACTAAATATAATCAACCAGGTGGGGTGTTGACTGTTACATTAGCCGACTCTCTGTGTTGTATTGCATAATATTTTCAAGTTTGCTAGGTTTTTTTTTTCTCATTCATTCGTACCTGATGATGATTGCTTGTGTTGCAATCGAAACGGCGTATTCTATTATTTAATTTATTTTCTTTCTACGTGACTTCACCGAAAGAACCAAAAAGTAATTAGAATTATTACATCGTGGAACCATGAAAGACTCTAATGACTTGGGCATACCTTTGCCCAGCGGTGAATACATCATGGCCCACGACAACGAATGCGGGACAACCATAATACGTCCGCATTGTCCTGAATGAACAACCGTTCCGTCCCTTGCAGGATGAGCAAAGCATGTGTTGGGTCTAGGGATCAATAAATAGGCTTGCTTGCAAGCGGCCCACAGAATGCTCACTGACGCATGTATATTTGCCTTGCATTAGTCTCGGATTACAGCATACCGGACCAACCTGGTTGGCTGTGTCGTCTCAGGTTGTTGCTTTGACAAGAGCCGTTCTAATCCCTCAACACTCAAACAGCGCGATCCCTGGCCAGTGATGGGCATCGTAGTCAAGATCTCAATTGAGATAGCGACATCTTGTTAATTAAGTTTCCTGCAAGCCCGTATGGCTATATTGTTTTCAGCACGAACTTTCATCAAGATTCCTCTTTTTTTGTTGGCAAACCTGACACGACACCACCACCATCACTACAAAAAATGTATTAAGGCTGCAAATTTCTATATTTTTATATTATTTGATCTCTGCTGCATTTCTATGAATTGTTTATACACGACCAACACGGTGTGGAGAGGCCCTCATCCAAAAGTGGATTGACACACGGTTGTGAGTTCAGTTATTACTATCATGGATATACCATTGAGCTATGGTGCTCGCAACACATCACAAGGCCAGCACCATGTTGGGATGCCTTTGCCTTCCGAGTGCTGACACCAAGTTTGTTAACACAGAGACACCACACCAGATATGTGCATGGCCAGGAATCAACATCACACCATTAGGATCACCGTCCGGTAAAGTATAACCACCAGTGAGTAACCAGTTGCGAAGACACCACTGTGTTCCAACCCCACAGCATACGCATATACTCAACAACAACAAATCACTCCACAAGTGCTGTTAGAGAGCACCTATTAATGTCCTCACAGGACACCTGGTTGGAGTGTGACCAGTGCCTTGCCCACCTGCCTATATCTCTCCATTTCTGATTTATGCATCCATACCCAAAGACAAAGATCCCCCATCTATCCTCACAGAATGGTGATGCAAGTGCTGTTAGGGAGTACCTACTCATGCCAACACGAGCATGAGGGAGTGGTGTGGCCAGAACCACGCCCGACCACCTTTGCCTCTCCTGTGCTTAGCTTTACACTACGCACGGGATGCTCGTCACGTCTCAGTCAATCTAGAAGAGGTCCGGGAGAAGTTCTGGTATCACTTGGAACTGATGTAATCCACAGCAGTGTTCGTAGTGCAGTGCACGCGTACCACTATGCCTCCGCTCCTCGTACAATCACAGACACGGACACAATATTTACACGACTGGAGATACAGATGAATCAGGGAAGTTTCACAATATTATTATTATCACGCGAAAGTTACCTGTTGCCGAAAGCCACAGGCGTGTCGTCTTGTAGCCAAGTGATAACAGGAGAAGGGACTCCGTGTGCATTACAGCTTAATGTCAGGGCCTCGGGCCGATGGCTTAGGAGCAACGGGTGGCCCACTTGCACCCTGATCTCTTTGTGAGACAGGAGACTTAATGGTAGATCCTCTCTCTCGATAGCCGGAACCTCGTAGGGGGCACTCGTAAACCTGGGGGACGCTCGATAACCATCGTTCACTTGAGCTGCGTGCGTAACATCGCCAGGCTCTTCAGTGGTTGGCTCCGGTTCTGCGGAGAGACTGCGAGGGATTTTCGTGGGCACCGCTGTGGATGCAACGTCAGGATTCCCCTCCCATTTGCCCTGCTCAAACACTCCGGCGGCTCTCGGGCTCACAGTCTGCGTCGGGCTCTTGGTAATCAGATCCTTCGCTGGTTGAGCGGAGGCACCGATTTGATGCTGTCCTCGGAGGCGGAGGGTGATGTTTCTGATAAGGCCCTCCAGTTTGTCTTCCTCGGTAATGTACGCCACTGGATTGGAAGCATCCAAGTTAATGATGTCGTCGTACGAGTAATCTCTTTCTGCCGAGTCGGAAGATTCAGCGGATGCCGGCTTCGTTTTAGCCTCCAGCTTTTTTTCCAGGACTCGGAGAACAATCCGGTCATACAAACTCCCATCGTCCCTGTAAAACTCGTACTTGTTCGCTTTGATTTGCTTGCGCAGCTTCTGCACGTCCATCTCCTTGCTGGCGGAGCTCGCGGCCTCGTTGTGTTTCAACTCCTCCGGCTCGCTCTTCTGCTTGGCCACTCGCGAGCCCTGGCTCGACCCAACGTCGCCGCTGCCGATGACGCCGATCAACTTGACGGCGAAGTTTTCTCGGGCCGAGCCCGCCACGCACGTGTAAACGCCGATGTCGCTGGGCTCCAGGTGGCGCACTTTCAAGGCACCGGAGCGTCCGAGGACGATCCGCGAAGAGTTGGCGAGGGGCAGCCCGTCGTGCTCCCAGCGGATGAGGGCCTTGTCAAAGTGGCGCACGGGGCAGCGGACGACCACCGTCGTCTTGGGGTGCAAGTAGGCACGGCCGCCAACGTCAAAGTGCAGCCGGCGATCCCAGCGCGACTGGATGTACACTTTGTGCATCGCCGCAATCTGCGGCTCCTTCCTGGTGGACTTCCTGTTGCTCTGCTTGCCTTTTCCATCTGTGTGAGCCCCGAGAAAAGTGAATGAGTAACAACAATAAATGTGGATATCAAAGGGGAAAGTACTTGCTATAAAACGCCACATTATGTATGTTGAACTTCTTTTCCACCGTACGTGACTTGCAGTAGTTAATCACAATGATAAATAAATATTTAAGAAATTTAGCCCATTGTCAATCCACTTGAACCGAAAGGCCTCCGCATGCTATGTCAGTCCTGCGGGACCGTTTCACTACATTTCACCTAACTTCTGCGTAAAGAATCATCATGATTTACATTTCAAGATTGGGCTTCTAGATTCACTGCAGGGTGTCGCCGTGACACTGCTCGGGCAGTCGTAGTTCTTAGCTAGCGAGTGTCCTTGCAAACCCAATGCACATTAACGTGTGGCTGAACCACATGAATGCACGCCAGCAGCAGATCTCCAGCGGCATTCATGCAGATTGTCACCAGGAGAGCTATTGCACGGATGTCTTACTGTGCAGCTGTAAGGTGCAATTACAGCAGACGTCCAGAATTTGTGAAAGTTTTGGGGAGTGTGTAGATTCCCGAATTTTTACTCTGCTGTCCACGTGAATCACATCACTCAGCTGTACCCTAGTGACATCATTATGATTTGAAAACGCGTCAACAATGTGTCACAGATACGTATGCCCGCACAAATCTCAAATAAATATTCATATGTGTTGCTTGAGTTTTCCTCTAATGATGTGAACATCTACATAATATGCAAAGACCAACATATGAATATCGAGAGAGAGGGCAGTGGCAACAGTGCTTAGCATACCACGCTTTTAACTTAACGAGCCAAGTGGCAAATTAATTGTATCTGAACAGGTCCAATACTTTACCGGCTCACACCGACAAGTGCGGTGAAGTATGGTTGGAAACAACCATGTGCACGCAAAGGCTCAAGGGATGCAGCACTCACGTGTGCAAGGGCGAAGACTGCAAACCTTGGTGGAGAGGGGTTTGGGAAGCGATTGACAGACAGCCGGATCAACAGTCAGCGTCTCCCCGGCGCCTGACAGCGTCTGACACGAGACAGCACGCCACTGGGTCCCCACTTCGCAGCTTCTCGAGCACTGTGCGCGGGAGGGGGCGGTGGGGGAGGGGGTCACGGGAAGGTGAAAAAATGTAAGACGTTTAAATATGTTCACAAAGTATCACGAGTTCAGCGGAGAGGAAATCGAGCTCGGTTAAAACACGTGTAAGCACGGTGACGCCCGACGCTGCTTGAAGTGGAAAACTAAATTGGAAATGTTTGAATGGTAGTAAATGAAATTAAAACAATTAATAGGGAATAAATAAACACAAAGCAATAGCTTCAAGCACACTAAAACCATCTGCTTGGTTTAGATATGTGGATAACACATTGGTGGTCTGGCCACACGGCAAAGAAACACTGAACACATTTCTAAATCATCTCAACTCGCAAAACCCATCCATCCAGTTCACCATGGAAGTGGAAGCTGACAGAACTCTACCATTTCTGGATATTCTGCTCGGACGGGGTAGAAATGGTAATATAACACACTGTGTTTACCGAAAGAAAACGCATACTGACGCCTATCTGAACGTAGAGTCACACAATCACCCCGCACAGAAATCTGCTCTTATCAAGACGCTAATTCATCGAGCTAAGAAAGTGTCAGATGGTGACAGTCTGAGAAGTGAAATTCAACATGTTAAAGAGGCGCTGCAAATGAACGGTTACAATGATGCACAGGTCAACAGGGCATTGGATACCAAAACCAAATCAAATAACAAGAGCATTGAAACTGCCCAAGTAATTAAAAGGAGTATGGATCAAAATACCGTACATTGCGGGAGTAACTGATAAACGAGCCAGATGTCTGGAAAAACCAAACATCCCGAGTCAGATTTGGACACGGTACATAAAACACAGAATTTAATATCTGGTACAAAAGATGTGTTACCGAAGCTATCAACAGAAGGTGTGTACAGGATTAAGCTGCACGTGTGGTAAATGTTATGTTGGGCAAACAGGACGAATGATCAGCACGAGACTAAAAGAACATCAGAGAAATATTAAATTCTCCCAAATGCAACTGTCAGCATTAGCAGAACACGCGTGCCAACAAGGACACTCAATTGATTTTGATAACGTTGAAGTTTTGTGCAAAACTAACTGCTACTGGCCAAGACTAATTAGATAATCTATCGAAATTGAAATAAATCAAAATAACTTTCACCGTTCGGATAGCTACCGTCTTAGTGCTGCAAGGAAGCGAATCATCAAATAATACGTTATTTAAATGCATGCCTACAAAGGGCAGCGTACTTCAATAGGGATTACCGTTGGTAGGGCTATTTTAATAAACACGATAGGCAGGAACGACAAGTTCAAAGGGCTCGCATAATGCACATGCATAATGTACGTTGCCTCAGTAATCCCCCCCCCCCCCCCCCACATTATGCAAGAGCGCAGAAGGGTAGTCATCACAGAAGGGTAGTCATCACATCTACGCCTCTATATAAGGAACGAAACAGGTGGACTTCTCCACAAATATGGCTGTCGCCTGATGAAGCTAGTTGTAATTACTGGCGAAGCGTCATACTCAAGATTGTAAATGTCGTGGCTTGGCTCTCCAACACACCAGTGTGCTGTACTAGTATACTACACTATACACTACACTATACACTACACTACACCGGTGTGCTGTACTCGTGACGAATTAGCCACGTTCTGTTTACGTGACAACCCTTACTAGTTGGCTGTGTCGGGTGGTGGTTGGTTTTAACGATACATTTATATATTTACGCGATCTAACCCAAAACCCTCTATTATGGATCTATATATATATATTCCTGGGTATTTACCACATGTATAAATGTGCAAAGGAAGCGTGTCTTGGAAAAAGGAAATTTGAACAGTGATTTTTTTAATGTATCTTCAAACTCCCGAATATCTTGCCTAGGATGTCATATTCATTTAATGTAAGCGCTATTTTTTCGTGTGCCATCGTAACTCTCTCCTCTATAAGGCATATCTGATATCACATCAGCCCCAAGCCCATATAGCCCCCCTCTCCACTGGGAGTCTAAAGTTACTCTAACTTTTTCCACGTTCCTCGCTAGGCTTATGTTAAAAGTAGCCCTGCGGCATAAATAACGGCTGTTTATTTAGCACATTCGATATATAAATAACGTTTTAAAAAAAACACAACAGGGACTAATTGTCCCAAACGTATTCTCATAATTGAGATGGAGGTCAATCGAAAAAAATCGTTGATATAATTAGGACGAACGCTCACCATGTGACCACTGACACGCTGTGTTCGATTGCTGAGTTTTAGTTGTTCTCCGATTATCATTTTGTCAGATGTTTTGTTAAAAACCACTTCAGTAGCATTTGCACAGACTTACGCGACGTTACAAGCACGTGATTCTGCGTTGGCAGTGGTGCATGAGGCAATAAAAAAACACTCAACACATGCATCAACTACACATGCTAAATGTAAAAAAAAATTATAGGCGATGTGCCGAGCATTGGCCCTTCTTCACATAGCATATCACAAGTCACCAATTATATTTATATACAGTATTCCTTTTTAGGGCCGTTCTATTCGTGCATAAATTTCTGACCGAAGTAATTTAATCGGCGTGATTGCTGGTTAGCGCTCAGAGTTGTGTGCGCAGCTATCTATGACCACGATGGAGGCGTTTCCCAAGGTGTTTTCCAACCTTCTTTCCGTATTGTGCATTTAGTCCTGCAGTTCAGGTGATAAATGCTCTATTTTAACAGCAACCCATCGAGACAAGTTTATTTTACACGGAAGGCCTGACTATCTCAAAGTTCCCATTGGGCATTCAATTCTGTGAAACATTCAAATTTTAAAGCAAATGTTTTAAATATATGTACATATATATAATCATTCATGTAGATATGTCCACTACAGCTTGGCTGTTAATATTTTATCCGCCTCTTCATTTTCAAAGCCGCTCATGCTGAATGGGATGCCACTTCGAACATCACAAATCTCACCAGCATAAACGTGATTCTCAACATGCAGAGAATTAGTTGAACACGTAGGCTTTCGCGACCAATATCATCCATAATATAGGTTTTTATTTCCCAATATATATAACTATTTTAAAATGACATTACCTTACAGACAACTAAGTCACTGATGGACTGATTTAAAAGTAAAAAAGTTAAACCCTTTCACTGCTCATGTACTTTCAGCCATGGCTGAACGATGGTAATTCCACCTTTCTATAATGGGAGTTAATCTCTCGCTGCTGGTTTCCCACAAAGCGTATATTTTTGCCTCACACACCAATTGTGCAAATGTTGATTTATTTTCCAATTATACCGCATAAAACATTTATACAACATTGACCAGCGTGGAAGAAGAGGAAAACTTCCTTCTAGAGGGCTGCTCAACCGGTGTGACACAGAACACCAGTCTGCTGCGGCAAAGTAAAAGGTGTGCCGTGAAATTACCGGAATCATGAAAGAACCTACAGACATCGCACTGCCTCCTATAACGCTGTTTCCTTATAACGCTCTTTTGTCCTGGAGGAAAATTCCTGGGAGAGATCAGCCCCATATATGGAAGAAAGTAGGCGTGTCTTTGCCAACATATGGAGGAAAGTAGGCGTGCCGTTGCTCGTAGGGGCGTGTCTTTGCCCATACATGGTCTTAGTCTTGTGGAACCTGAACCGAGGTGTCTATTGTATCGATTCTGCTCACCGAATCATCGAGGGTTAATCACCACGTCGCTAAATTGGCGATCAATGGATCGAGTAATCCCATCTGTGCTGTACAGCTTCCCGCTGAAAGTGTATTTATGGCAGACGGTGGTTAACGCAAGCTCTGACCAAATGCACTTGTGAGTACGTAACTTATTGCATTTTTTATGTCGTCATCATTCAAAGTTTGTTTTACGTACATAAAATGCTTTAACGCATTTATTATGTGCGCAATATCATTATTAAGGCGTTTACCTAAACCCAATGAAGCCCTCATATGTATCGGTCATAGGTAAAACAAAAATAGCGGTCGGGAATGCATCGCCATTGGCACCACGTTATAATGACCTCCTTTAGCAGCGCTGTTTCACGTCGCACTCCCTGAGCACTATAGGAGGTATGCCCGTATTTGTAAAAGAACTGAATAGGAAAGGAAAGAACTCCAACCACCCACGGCATCCCCCCAACGACCAGCGCACGTTATTATTGGTAGCCCACGCACCAGCCAGCCGTAGTCGGAGGGGGGGGGAGGGTGTTTGAGGTTATTTTTGTTTGTGGTGCTTAGCGGTAGTTCGTGGGTACTTTGCGGTAATTTGGCTCAGTGCACCCACGAAGATCAAGCAAGCTGAAAAGTGTGCCGTGGAATTAGAAAATGTTCACGAGCACTGCTCTCGATCTTCTTGGTTCTTTCGGTAAAGTCACGTAGAAGGAAAAGTAATAAAATAATAAAAATCAAACATCATAAAATAATTCTCACGACGTTTCGGCCACAACGCAAGCAGCCGTCTTTAGGTGGAGAACAGATCTGTCGAGGAGACAGAGTCTGAATGGCATGCCCCAGGCTTGGAGCGACTATTTATGCTGGGATGGAGGGGCAAAGAGCGTCTTGACAAAATAATTTGCCGAAACGTTGTGAGAATTATTTTATTATGTTTTATTTTTATTACTTTATTATTTTCCTTCTACGTGACTTTACCGAAAGAACCAAGAAGATGAATCCCTGCAGTCACGAAAGCTTTAAATCGACACTGCTCTCGAGTTTCCGCCAGTGGAGGGCCCTCCCGCCACCAGCGGCATGACCGAGGAAATTTCCGGGCCGCACCTTTACCCGTCGCATATCGCTTTACCGTGACATGCCCGCCTGCGCCTAGTGCTCACCTGTTGCCAGGGTCGAGTGGCCCACCGCGGGGCACAGTCGATCTGAGCGCACGGCTGCCGGTGTGCCGGAGGGGGGGATTCTCGGCAGAGCGGTTTTGGCAGGGCCAGCAAGGTCCCGTCGGCTCGCCGCTGCTGGCACAGGACCGCCCGCGTCTGCGAGCCCCGGCCACATGTCCGGGAGCACTGCCCAAAATTAAGACGAGACAGCATTAATTATTCGCGCGCAGCACGCTGCCAAACGTTCACGTGGTCGGGGTGGGTTTATACATGTAGAGGCGCCACGCTGGCATGACGCGATCGTCCTCGCCTGGTAGGCAGGAGGTTGTGGGTTCAATCCCGACCCTTGATGCCTGCTGTATGTTTGCAGTTTGCGTGTTCTCCCGGTGGTCGTGTGGATTTTCTCTGGGTCCACTGGTTTTTCCATCCACATTTAAAAACGTGCGCTTAGAGCATTTGGCTGCTACAAATTTCCACGTGATAAGCCACTTCGTTGAGTGATAATTTGTGGCCAGGTCGCTTCTGAAAAAGAGCCTTTTAGCTCAGTAGGCCTTACCTGGTGAAATAAAAAATATAGTATTTTTGAATAGTTTCTATAATTCTTAAACGTATGAATAGTTACGACCTTATGACCGCACCTGAAACTCAATTTTCAAAGTTGCGAAACTTGCGGTGCATAATAAGTACCTTGGAATTTAATTAAAGCGCTTGAAATTTCAGAACACGCAAATTTGATGCTGATTTTATTTTTACTTGACTATGCAGTACGACAAAATACTGAGTTAACAAAATTTATAAACGTGTTGATATTTATGGCATCTTCAGTTGAGAAGAATTAATACGTATGAGCTTATTAATGCAATCAATACGTTTATCACGGTTTCTGTGCACAGGCCCAAAGAACCAAAATGTGAAAAGACCAGCAAGAACCAGCACCATTAACAGCCTTATTAATTTCTAAAGTTGTAATCGATAAGTTGCAATACATACTTAACACTTTATGTTCATTGTAAATCAATGACTTCCATTTTATTTCTATCATAAAACGAAATCCTCAAGCAGGATTCCGAAATAGAAGTGTGCGGTTACAAGGGCTTCAACTTTTATGCCCCCAAAAAATAAACCTGGCAATGAATACCGCATGAAGAGTTTGTGAAATAAAAAAACCCAAGTCATAAAGGAAATTAACTTCGTGAAACCAATACTTCTTGAACCACTTGTGGATTGAAATCAAGTCATTTAAAAACAGCACACCTGTCAGCAAATATACAAAATATATGTGAAGCATGCCAGTCACTACCAACTTCAATTCCTTATTTGGAGCAACATTTATATCGTTGTAACTTAGAATAATATATTAAACAAGAAACAACATACTTTAATGGAGAAATGCAATATTTATTTTAACCAGTTGTACAAGAATAAGAATAAAATTAACGATACGCTGATGAATACGCTGATGCTATATTTTAGATCGGAAGAACTGTTCATTGATGAATAACGATTTCCTACAAATGAAATTGGAGAATTACAAAAAAAAACTATATAAAATCATGAACTGGAATTGGGTTCAGTTGTTGCTTTAATAGTGCTCGCCTTCAGTACAAAACTAATGAGTACGAAGGGGCAGGTCTGTTAGCAGTGCCTAACAGTGGAATTACCTCTTCCGTATAATCAGTAGAGGAAGTTACTCTCTTCCACAGAACAAATGACCTTGCCGATTGATGTCAACAAGTTTCGAATATAGGCCAAAGTACAGCCCTGCATTTACTTGCTCACTCCACTGCTGGTGGAAGGGCCTCCACGAGAGGATATTTGGCCTACTCTTTCACACCGGACAGTCATCTTAGAATAGGCTCGAGTATCCACACTTTGCCACGCCGCATGCGACCAACCAATCGACTGAACGTGGTGTAGACAGAGGCAGGTAGTCTGAACCGATAAACTCTGCATCGCAAGCGCAGTGCACTAACCATTACAGCATACGCTCAAAAAAATATATAAATGTACTTAAATAAATGAGAAAACGATCTGAGCTTGAACAGAAACACACGTGAGTAAAGATGAAACATGTCACCAAAACAAAAACCTGATGGCAAACGTAAATTAATCGCGCAAAAAAGATCATCGTCACTGGGTGTTGGCCGTGAACGGGAATCGAACCCGGGTTGCCGGGTTTATAGCGCAACGCACTAACCGCTACACCATCAACAACAACCGCCATTCGCCACTAAGTGGCGGTGACGTCATCACATCGCCTGTGCCAGGCTATGTGCACGTTGAGGCCACGTGAAGTGTCGAACGCCCGCTGGCAGGAGGTCAAGGGGCAGACCCAGGTGCCACGGGTCGACTGACTGAGATGACTGGTTGATGCACCACCTGTGCCCCCTACTGTGCCAACTTGCTGTGCTTTAGCCACCCTGCGCTCCGCTCGTTGTTGTGAGCATCGCTCCTCCCCACTCCGTTGTTGTTAGAGGGCGACTGCCTCCAACTGCCCAGTAGCATCTTTTACGAGCCTCCTCCACAAAGGCCGCTGGTACCAGTCATCGGCAAGTCCACTCAGCTCCACATCCTCCTGTACCACATAACTCCGTCTCTTCTCTAGCCCGTGCCGTGCCCATTTAGCTCCCGTCGATTTGGCCGACAAAAGCTGTTTAGGCATGCGGTGGCTGGGCATGCGGGCTACATGACCCAGCCAACACAACCTTGCCGGAGGACCTCACCGATGGGACTTTGTCCAGATCTTTCAAGGATATGTGAGCTCCTCACACAATTGAGCCTGGTTAAACCCAAGATGGATCATAGGCAGGGCAGCCTAGATGTTTCTAACTGGCGAAGATGTTCCATTAGGGGGGTCCACAGTTTCGCAAGCGTAGAGAAGGGAGGGAATGACTGTGGCCGAGAAGACCTGAACCTTCATGCAGAGCAAAAGACCAGGTAGCTTGCACACAGCGTTACGCAACCGATGAACAGATAATGCCGCTCAATTGATTCGAAGTGAGACCTCTGCTGTCAAACCGGAGCCGGTCATGATCACACTGCCCAAGTATGGGAAATTCTCCACTCTCTCCACAACTGCCCTATCACCAATTGGGAGTTGTGGGGGTGGAGTGTCCGATGGTACAAAATACTCAGGCAGGTGGGCCTGATGGTAGGTCCCCACCTCTTAGTGTCAAGCTCCAGGTTCAGCAGCAGCACCTCTAACCCCTCCTCTGAGTGAGCAGCAATTACTAGATCATTGGCATACATAACATGGTTGAGCAATAGGGAGCCATCCCTTGATCGCACCCATGCATCGATCAGCCTCCCATTCTATCTGTACCAGATGGAAATTCCTCCAGTACAGCTATTGAAGGCTTGACGAACTACGTGGTCGAAATAGATGTTAAATAATGTGGGAGCCAGAGGACACCTCTGTCGCACCCCAAAGTGAACAGGGAATGGTTCCGACTCCCGGCCATGTAGTTTTACCCGGGCCGGCTCACCATCGTGAAGGTCCTTAATGAGCGTGAGCAGCGGGTCAGGGACTCCGGAAGCACAAAGAACAACCCAGAGCCCAGGCCTACTGATGGTATCATAGGCCTTGACCAGGTCAATAAAGCAGAGATGTAGGTCTTGTTGGAATTCCCTACACCTCTGCTGTAGCAGACGGACAGAAAATATGGCATCTGTGCAGGACCACCCTTTTCTGAAACCGCATTGGGGCTCCACAAACCTCTCCTCAGCGTGCCTGGCAAGACGATGTTGAATAATCCTTGTCAGGACCTTTCCCGGCACACTGAGGAGTTAGCGCGCATGCAGACACTGACACACACACACACGCGTACGCAGACACTGACACGCACATACACGCGCACGTGCACACACCTGCTGCCAAGGTTGCGCGTGCCAGGTAGGCGGGCAGTCCAGCCGGGCGCACGGGCGCGTGGCAGGCGGCTTGGGCAGGGCGCACTCGCGATCGGGCAGCGGCGGCGGCCGCTCGCGGGACCTCCCGGCGGGCGAGGAGGCGACACGGCGTGCGCAGACCACCTCCCGGGTGTGCAGGCCCTGGCCGCAGCTCACGGGGCACGGGCTCCACTCGCCCTCCTCCCACCTGGCACGGCGGCGGCGGCGGCGGGGGGCGACAACAGCGGCGGGGAGTGGATGCCGTGACTCGTTTGCGATCGGTGGCGAGATGTTGAGCTGCCTCGGCCTGGAGGTCTCGTGGGTTTTGATTCCCGACCCTGAAGATGCCCGCTGTATATTTGGAATTTGCGGTGTCTCTTTCTCTCTCTCTGCCCGTGGTCGCATAGGTTTTTCTCCTCCGGGTCCTCCGGTTTTTCCCTCCGCATTAAGAAACATGTGTTTTTGTACTTGGCTGCTATGAAATGTCCACGTGATAAGCCACTTCGTTGAGCTATCATTTGTGGCCAGGTCACTCCAGAAAAAGAGCTACATAGCTCAGTGGACCTTAGCTAGTAAGATAAAAATAGTTTAGTTTAATTTATTTTATTTCTCCAGCTCACGATACACGCATCTAAACGTGTAAATGTAAAAGTTGCGGGGTTTTTTTAAAGAAAAAAAACACTTTCTTTACATATTATTTATTTCATGTACTACAGTACTTATTTTTCTCATGCTATTCGTTGCACGCGGTGGTTGAACTATATGTTGCATGCGGATGCCATCTATTTTGCCGCTGAGGTCGTGACGGGTTTCATATGCCCCTGTACCGTTCCCATTATGCTTTCATGTGCAACTGATGTCTTCTTTATTGAGGGCGATATTGGCACATAAATTAAATAATGATTGATTTATTTGATCCATGTATGTCATACGTGTAGCCAGCCCATCCTGCCTGTCTCGCTCCTCCCATGATTGCGATTCATCACATGTAAGCCCACACTGGCTGCATTTGCCAGAAGCGTACGTGAACTTGCAAACCAGCCCTCTGATGGCATTACTGGTTGGACTGTATACTAATCATTATGCCATGAGAAACCTACCCACAGAGCCCACGGGATTGGCCGTGAATATCTAGCTGCATGACAATGAGTTTGCTGCGGGACTATCTGTATTTCTTTTTTTCCTGCTATTCCCTGAAATGGGTAGGTTTCGATTTAAAGCTTTCGTGACTGCAGGGTTTCATCTTCTTGGTTCTTTCGGTAAAGTCACGTGACTTTACCGAAAGAACCAAGAAGATGGGTAGGTTTCCTCAAACCAATGGTAAAAATACTGAATAAGAATGTAGCTAAACACCTCAATGCAGGAATCTCCTGATGAGGAGTGAGACCCACGGTGGTGAGATGTTAACTACCTCACCCGCTTTACAGGAGGTTCGTGGGTTCGATCCCGACCCTGACGCCTGCATAGTTGGAGTTCGCAAGTCTCTCTCGCCGTGGTCTCGTGGTTTTTTTTCCTCCAGGCCGACATGCGTCGATTCTAAATGTATTTGGCCGCAATAAATATCCACGTGCTAAGCCACTTCGTTGTGCTCTCATTTGTGGCCAGGTCGCTTCTGAAAAAGAGCCAGACAGCCCAGTAGGCCTTCCCCGGTAAAATTCTAAAATGGATTTTAAACAGTTTCAACCCAGTAAAGTGCTTCACGTATTTGTTTTTAAGACAGCTTCCTTGAATCGTCTTATCAATTCGTACACATCAATGGCCATGTGGAAATTAACTTCACAGACGTTTGATTTAAGCCGCGAACACCTAATGAGCTACTGAGATCAAGCTGGGGTCAGAAGCTTCACTCCACGAACAAATCAGCAGACACATTTAACTGCACCACCAGTCTGACAAGTATTTAAATCTTTGATTAGAACTCACTCGCACAAAAAATGTATGACTGTTACAGCTCGAGGGTGCTCTATATGATTCGGCAGTGCACACCAACCCAGCCGCGCGTGTGTGACTGCGGTGTGATGCTCATTCGCGCTGCCTTGACACGGCATACGTGTATATGACGTTGTAGAAATGTACTCTGAATACATTCTAGATGTTTTAATGTTCGTATACACATCGGTACGCATTTGCTATGTGTCTCTTGACGCCATGGGCAACCTTGTGAACGAAATGTTCCATCTCAAGATATTAACCAGGTAAAATATTTTAACAAATCAAAATAAATATACATGGGAAAAAAGACCCTACGTTTTGTAATCAATCACTGTCTTTGGTACATATTTTGTCATGGCCAGCATATGTGCTTCATAGTTATTATATTGCTTAACATAAATAACCAGAAAAAAAAACAGTCAATACATTGAATAGAAAATAACATCTAAGCAGAGCAAGGTCAATGTTTTTAATTGATTTCAGATGCCCGGCTTGAATCAGTCGAAGGCAATCAGAAAGGTTAGAGGTTGCAGGTGTGTTGTTTTTCAGGCTACAAAACTGAAATCGGAGTGAGAGTTCTGGCAGGTCAGAACCTTTGAATGACCTCAAGGATAACAGAAAAATAACAGAACTGACAAAAAATGCATCAAATTTCGTATGTTTAACGGCGTCACACCGTCGGATTAAAACCAGGAACATTCACTTATGTGGCAAAAAAATACCAATATATTTTATTTTTCTAACAGTGGCACCACTCGTTATTTTAATTGCGATAACATTGCCCATCGGGTGCCAGTGGGGTTTGTTTAATTTTGGAAAAATCTCAATAGATCTCAACTGTCAGTAGGGGTTACTTTGAAGACCTTTGACACCTTGCTGGCTGAGCAGACAAAATTGTGCTTCACCACGGCAGGGCAGTTAAATTGCAGTGGAGATATCTCATGGGTCTGTGAATGTAGAGTACCAGATTGCTTAGGAGACACTAAATGCCTCAGCCACATAAGAAATACCCAGTTTAAATATGAGGCCATACTGCTGCCAAACTGGAATTGGATTGGCACTGATTCCTGTTGTGCAGTCCCCGGTTTCTTGTCTGTAGCAATACTCTTCACGGCACGATTTTCTTTCTTGGAGATGCGTGTTTATTTTATTATTATTTATTCTCTCTTAAATGTTGGCTTTTTACAAGTAACACTATATAATCAAAATACCAATTTGTTTTGCTACAGCGTTTTTCTAAAATTTCCAGGAAATAAAAAGCCCAATGAAGATTGGTTGTTGCATGTACCAGGTAATTAATATTTATTAACTTAACGCAAGCTGTTTTTTTACGTGTTAAGTACTGTACGTGTGTGTGTGTGTAATGGGTGATGAATGTCCACGCGTGTGTGTTGAAGCGGTGGTGTAGTGGTTAGCAGACTGCACTACAAACCCTGGCGACCTGCATTCGATTCCTGCTCATGACCAACATCGGTGATAAATTTATCAACCGCTCCTCGGCCTCTTCCGCTAGGTCATCTCAGACTAAAATCAGTACCTGATACACTGTGCAAATGTGGGCAATGGGGAGACAAAAGTTGGGCAGGCGTAGGTAATGCCCACACCACCCCGTCCTGTGCCGTGCCAGGCTTCATAGAGGTGCTCACTAACGGCACCTGCCCCCAACAGTCTGTTTTATGGCTATATAAGGGGTCTTTTCACGTGTCTTTATGTATTTGCTTGTGTATAGAGATGGTGCCGAGCATTGCACTGCGATCCGTTGATCTTGGTTCCATGAATGGTCAACGAATAACAGCAGTGGTAGAGTTGGAATTCCAACCTGGCCAAGGTCTCCTCTCGGGTGATTCAGTCAATGGAAGGGCCTCCATGGAGGGCCCCTCTCGAGGGTATTTGGCCTACTCTTCCATACTGGTCAGATATCTCGGAAGAGGAGAGCACCCACAATGTACTCTACCGCATACCTGCTGATCGACTAACCATGGTGTACCCATTTATTCTGCTGGGTGGACAGAAGGGATTTCATGATGGATTTAAGGAAACATGCCCCATTGTTTCAACTGCCAAGTCACCATGACAAACCCGCGATCTCTGCATCTCAAGTCCAGTATTGCGAACCAAAACTATTGGGTGTACAATCGATGGTCCTTGGCACGCCATCTCAGATACTGTTTGGCCATTGTGTCCCACTGTTACGGGTGACTTAGCCACTTACTTCGAGTTATAAAGCATTAGTTTGCTCACAAAGTACTTCTCAAACAAAAAATCTTACAGTTTACCGAAGGAGGGAAAAAATGTACTATGGATAACTAAATAAATAAAAGAGCACGCCATGCTAGCCTTAACTGCATACAGAGAGACACGTGCACACACAGACACGTGTCTGCACGAACCCGTGCGCGTGTGTGTGGGGAGCGGCAGTGTAGCGGTTAGCACACTGCGCTACGAACCTGGCGACCCGAGTTCGATTTCTGCTCATGGTCAACACCAGTGACGATTGTCTGAACCGGTCCTGGGCCTCCCCTAGGTCGACTCAGCCTAAAATGAGTACCTGGTGCGGTGTGTAAACATCGCCACCGGGGAAACAAAGGCAGCCCGGCGTGGTTGCTGGCCACCCACCCCCTCGTGTGCCGTCCCGGCCTTCATAGGTGCTGCTCGCTAACAGCACTTACCCCAACAGTCTGTTAAGGCTATACGTCGGGTCTTTGTGGATATGTGTGTGTGGCACGGACTGGATAGTTCACCTTTCCAGGCGCACACGTGTGCAACAGCTACAGGTTGCGTTTGGATACAAGAGCTATGATGAAAGCATGAATTAATACATTTGGGAAACAGCTAAATGTATCTGGCATGACAACCATTTTTCATGTACATACACGTGGTGACATTTGGTTATTGATTGGCAGATGGTAGCAGTGGCGCGTAAGAAAGCCATTATGTGCAGGTGTGCTTCACATTAAGCAGTGCTGCAGTTTTCCATGAGCCTTATTTATTTATATTTCTCCATTCAATACGTTTGTGATTGGCTTGGTTAAAGTTGACCAATAATGTTATTCCAATTATACATTGAGTACAAATATTGCACTTTTTCCCACCTCTCGGGACATTGTGTACGATCGCAATAGCTGGATCACACACTCCCATGTCTGTTGTTGTTGTATACATGGAATTTATTTCCATGGAATAAATTTGCATAATAATTTGCATGTGTTAATTTGCAATTTGTGATTAATTTTTTAAAAAGAATTTAAGATGTGGACTGCGTAAAATGACTAAGCCAACTTTTAATTCATATAAGCCACTGGTTTCTAACAGTTTACCTCCCATATACCCTTACCAGCATACGCAAATCATCACATACATCACCATAATGCAACATGTACATTGTAATTGCATTTACACACAACACCAGAGACATTCAGTCCTAGGTGTTAATAACAACTAAGTATAATTTTCTCTATATACAATTTAATAAAATGAACAAAGCCACAACTGTGCAGCTTAAGCCTGAAGCCACTTACCATTGGCATAAAGCAGAGTGGAAGGCTGGGCTTCACTAAATGTGGATGCTTTGTAAAACACATGTTAAAAACAAATACGGCTAACGAGCGAGAGAGCGAGAGAAGGCACTTGCAGGACACGTGGACGGCCGAGGTGGCCAATTGCATTGGTTTTCTGAATTCCATGCAACAAATGAGTAAATAGCTTTTCGAATCGCGAGTGCACACGCATGCTAAGCAGCACTGCTCAGTAAATAACCCCGGTTGACCGCACCACCCCCACCATGTCTCCGCGACGCCTTGAGGTTATTTTTTTTTTGCTCTCGCATGCTCGAGGTGCCGCAGGTTGGGAAGCGCCGATATAGGCCATAATTATCAAATACAAATCTGTCATTCGTAAAACACCATCACTGCAGAAAATATGTGGGCCGGATGACATTGAGCACACAATGTATTTTCGGGTTATGGAAACATAACTGCACACCTTTTTTTATGAGCTTGGAAAAAGAAAGTGCTGTGCTTTGTGAAATACGACGGCGTGCTGTGATGGCTAAATTATCCATTATTTCTGGTATGCTGAGGTGCAGCACTTGGCTCTCCACGGGGCCCAGAGCAGCACAAATTGAAGGCTTCCCTTCTGCTGGTCACTGTGAAGAACCAACGGCCTAATTAAGACCCTCGTGAGCGTTGCCCATCAGGCCCCAATTAACCAAAAGCCAAATCAGTCTGCCCTCCGGGTTTAGAAGCGTTTTTGGTGATAACAACAGACTCAAAGGTACAGGAATAGTACTTAGGAGGATCTTAATCCAGGCCTGCATGCAATGCATTCCTCTGACGTGCTTTCGATAAAGCCGCACTTTTTTGAGAACCATTCCTGTAAAGGCTCAGCACAGTTCGTGTGGGGGCATGTTCCCGTGGACAGGGACGTGTCCATTTGCACCGTTTTGAAGCTGTGGTTGTGGGATGCCATGCACTTGACAAGCAGACACGGATTAAGGGCATGCTGTCTCCTCTCTATTAATTATCTTTATTCACATCTCACCAAAATGTCATCTCATTTCCATCTCTGCTCGTAGCCTCCTACCCTTTCCCTTCTTTTATCTCCTTTCAAAACGCTTGGCCCCCTTGTGTACGCAGCACCTCGAGACGTGGTCACATCCTCGCACTATATAAATCAAAGTTGCATTGCGTCGCACGCAGTGCTTTGGCTCAAGCCAGGACAGCATTTTCTGCCCATTACTCATACCTCGGAGGGAGCAGCAACGCAGTGGTTTGTGCACTACGCCCTGAACCCGGTGACCCGATTCTGATTCCCGACCATGGCTAATATCGGAGGCATTCGATATCTCAACCAGTTGCCGGCATCCCACCCCCACCGCCCACCATCATGATGAAGTACGGTCAAAATGGCTGTACATTACATTTATTTTCCTTACTACTACTGCTCGTAACTTGCTTCTTTATACCACAAATAAAGATATACCTTCCTCAGGCTCGTATTTGGCTCTGATCCCATGATGGTAAGAAGGCCGTACAACCGCATGGTGTGAGTCCCCAAGAGGGCTGACCACGGCTTGCTTACCTGGCATTGTAAATAATTAGCCTCGGGAGAAAGACAGGATGTCAATGTATTTGACTGTGTTTGCAAATTAATCTGCGCCCACATGTACACGCTTGTGCCTGTGGAGGTATTCATGTCCATGCGGTTACATTCAAAACCTCCCTACTGGGCTACATTCTAAAGGAATGTTTTCCCGATTTTTTGATTAATCTGAAAGCAGAAAAATCCAACCGAGATACGATATTTGAGACGATCCAAAGAAAAGCGTTCAGTCAAATCAATCCCAAAAGAGAACTTTCACATGATCAATTCCGTGCTTTCCCTATTGTAAGCACGAATACATTTTAAATAACCATGCAATGTAAAGTGATCCGAACACGCATGTGCAATTGTAACTTATGAATCCGAATTCCTTTAAAAAAATGTTTTCATCCAAAACGCTTCCCTACAATGTAATAGACAAGTAATACAAAAATAAAATAGCGAGCGAGGATCCTGAACCTTTCACCCTCTCGCCTGCCTCTGCGAGTACGTTTAAAAGACATCGCTGGCCATGTCAGCCAGGGGGAGGGGGTGGCATCTAATGTGTGGAAATACACGTCTTAAGAGGAATCAATCCTGCATCGCAGTGATGGAAATACAGCGAACGCTGGGCGTCACGCGATACCGGAGCCAGCGCGAGGCTAAGTGAAGGTTTGGATGCCTGTCGGCACATGCTGCAGTTTCATTTATATCGTGCGGAACACTCAATCACTGCTGCATAAACCTCGCGCAGAAACTCGGCACAGTAATGCAATGCTTGTTTTAAGGGTGCCCCCTTTACGTAATGGGAGATGTCCTGCCAGTGGCTAATGGTTAATTGAAGCAGGTCAAGCTTCGGATATCGGTGAACAAATCTTGGCTTAGGTTTGTACACCTATCTGCTTTTTAATGAACCCAAAGCTTCTATAAATATTTATAGATCTTTAAAAAACATGCAACTATATAATAGTGATGTATTACTCTCTGCACATTAAAAAAGATGAGTACCCAGTAACAGTTAGTAAGATTTATTAAGAACATGTATGGAATTACTCTTTGGTTCTTTCGGTAAAGTCACGTATAAAGAAATTAAATTAAATAATAATAGAATACGACCTTTTGATTGCAACACAAGCAACCATCATCAGGTACAAATGATGTGTGGAATGTTTACATTATTTAACCCAATAGGAGCCCATTAAGAGCCATTCATTTATTTCAAATAACGTATTACGAATAAATGTAAATACAATTTTGGATTATTAACTGTTAAGAGTTGTGCTGCGCAATAACTTTCATATTTGGTGCTTAAACTGGCGCAGTCTACGATTGCAAATGTTGATTCCTTCAGGGTGATTAGTTACCAACTTTACAGCGGAAGGCAGCAGTTGGTAAGTGACCAAAAACATCGCTGTGCCATTTAAAGGCTCCGAGCCAGCTGAGTTTATAAATTCTGACACCATTGTAAAAATGTTTACCACTCATTTTTTAATTTACCTCACAGTTATACACAATAATAATAAGCAGCAGTGGTGTGAGCAATTTCGTGTTCACACCACTCCTGGCATGAGGGTCTCTACTAGAGGGAAGCCCTCTGGAGGGTATTTGGCCTACTCTTCCACATTGGCCAGACATCTTGGAAGCGATTACGTATATCATCATTAAATTTTCATTCGTTTTTCCTACACCCCAATGTTAACGCTGAGAGGAAAAAAGAAAAGAAAAAAGCCAGTCGACTCGCTTATTTATAGCTCGGTTAATTTAAAGGTCTCAAAGCAACTTTAACCTCATGTCAGAACGGCTGATTTTTAATTGAACGGATCCAGATGCAGTCCAGATGATCTGGCGCTCTGGGCTCCTGGCGGCATCGTGTGCTCTTGGCAAGCGCGAGGTACCTGGGAGGGCAGGGGTCCACGTTGCAGCTTTTCAGGAGCCTTGGGGGACGATGAGAGGCGTTGCACAGACCATGGTCGGCTGGCTCGCCACCCTCCTTGCTCAGGCACACAGCCCTGGCCTCCTGGGTGCCTTTGGTTACAAAGAAGTGCACGTGTCAAGTTAGCAGAGAAATGCTCCACAGGCACGGCTCAAGTAACGGTGTTTTGCGTGTATCGGGTAACTCGTGCTCCGGTTGACCAGGCATTCCGACAGTTGTTCTTACGGACTTCGCTCGGCAGATGTGCCATCGTTGCATTGTTCCATTGATTTTATATTGTTCGTATCATTGTACAACTCGTTCATGCAAAGCCTGATACTTAATGGAGGTCTCTCTTTCAGGAGAGAACTGGGTTAAAAATACCTGGCAACTGCTTGATTTCTATTCATATTCTTAGGTTTTTTCGGTAAAGTCACGTAGGTAAAAACATTAAAAAGTAAAATAAAATAAAAATCACGACGTTTCGGAGGCAACACAAGCTTCCGTCTTCAGGTGGTACCGTCACAGCCACGACAGCTGTATCAAGTAAAAATGCTTGATTTCTCTGGTCTATTCGTACCAAAAGTATCAATGGATTGTGGCCTATATTTGAACCCAATTTTACGAACGTGCGTAACATGCCTCAAAGAACACACTCGAAACAAAACTCACCTCCACCGCAAGACTCTGAACAGTCCGTGAAGCCCTGATATTCCCACTCGAAAACCGGCTCGATGGCATGCGGGGTCACATCCCTCTCCCCATCGTCGCCCCTCTCGCTCTCCCCCTCCTCCTCCTCCTCTCCGTATCGCTCTCCCTCCCCTTCTTCCTCGGACTCTCCATCCTCCCCCTCCTCTCGCCAGCCCGCGGCAGTGAAGTCGGCGGAGCACGAAGCGGCGCGGCATGCCCTGGTGGCGCTGGGTCGGGGCCCCTCGCCGCACTCCTCGTCAGGCAGATCGGCGACGGTCCGCGAGAACGAGAGGAAGACGCGGCAAGGGACGGCGCGCGTCCGCACGCCCACGCCGCACGTGGCGCTGCAAGGCGACCAAGGACCAGCGATGAACCTGCTCCCTCCCACAAGCGAAGAGACAAATAAGACGAAATATTCCCCCCGTGTAGCCTTAACAGACTGTTGGGGCCAAGTGCTGTTAGAGAGCACGGCCTATGGAAGGACGGCACGGCAACACGAGGGGGTGGTTGGCCAACGCCGCGCCGGGCCGCCTCTGTGTCTCTATCCAGTGACGATGTTTTACACACCGCCACCAGGCAATGTGCACATTTGAGGTTGAGTCGACCTAGGGAAAGGCCCAGGACCGAATCAGATAACCATCACCGGTGTTGGTGGCCGTGGGCGGGAATCGAACTCGAGTGGCTGGGTTCGTAGCGCAGCGCGCTCACCGTTGCGGCACCGCTCCCAACAGACAAACACGCACACTAATCGACTGTCACAATGCGCGCTTGTGATTCGCGGCAAGTAAATGCCGTGAGACACAGACTGTGGAACATCGGCCTGTTCCTGGAGGAGCCCTGCACCTGGGAAGACGACCTCGCCGGGGCTACAGACCGGGAGAGTATGATGAGCCTGAGAGAATCGGCATCAGAATCTCTATTTAGCCTGGATGAATCCGATGAGCTGTGAAGCTTTTTTTCCAGTCAGGGGGAGGTCAGCCAGTTACAACAACAACAATGTACAATCCCCAAGTCTTCGTTCTTCGATGGCCGGTGCCCTGTGCGTTCCCCGGACCCGCCTCTTCCACACAATGGGCGACCGTGCCCTCCGTTGTGCTGCTCCTCTAGGTGTGGCCCGCCTTCCCCAGAGAGCGTTGTTCGTAATTCGGAGACAATGGTGCCATTTAAAAGCCACCTAAATAGGCATTTCTTTTCTCTTCATTCTGGTTACCTAATTTAGCTTCGATGTCGATTCCTTTTTCCTCCACTTGGCCAAAAAATAGTGTTTTTTTGTGATGTAAAGTGCATTGAGCTCCTTGTAGACAGGTTCTTTGTAAATGTAATTTATGATTATTATTTTTAAAGGATGTGACTGGTGGCAGCGCACGCCAGTAAAAAATTGCAGCAGTCGAACGTCAAGATGCAGTTAAGTAGTCGCATCCAGATTGTGGTTTACACCTGTCCTGTTTTTCCCAAGATTGTCCTCTTTTGAAGGCAGTGGGTCCTGTGAAGTCTGAATGTCTTCCCAGCACATTCATAGCACCTGTTTTAGTTAGCCGCGTTACAACGCACCACTCAAAACGATGCATTCACAACGCAGTTCTCCCCCTCTGCTGGTATTGTGAGATAATCCCGGGTGTTTTGTACCGCAGAGGTGGCAATCCTAATGCAGTTATTTCTTTACTATTTGTTGCCAAATTATCTGCCTGGGTGAAGCTACGGTAAAGCATTGCGGCACACTGTCGCTTGAAAGGTCGTGAGCTCAAATCCCCGTTGGGAGTTGACTGAGCCCATTAGGCCTCCGGGATCGATGAAGTGAGTAGCATTTCGCGGCACGTTAACCGTGGTTTCCTGTGGAGAGACTGGCACTCCGCCACAGGAGGAGGCATTGATGAGTGCTTTCTACCACTCTACAATGGAGATAAGCACAGCTCAACACCAAGCTGCTGCAGTCTGAGGCAAGCGGACGCAATGGGCTCGATCCCCGCCTGCAGAGGCATTTATGGTCACCTTTGGTGGGAAATATCAGCAAATGGTTGTTGACGCTGGGAATTCACACCAAAAACGAGTGTTGGTATTCTCATGTTGCCAGCAATCACCGGTCGATGCAGTTACTGGCATAACTGCTATGGTGGGCATGGCCAGGGGCGACCTGGCGGCGGAGGCAACATGAATTTTATATTCTTAGGTTTTTTCGGTAAAGTTACGTAGGTACCTACGTACCTACGTGGCTTTACCGAAAAAACCTAAGAATATGAATCCTTGCAGTCACGAAAGCTTCAAATCTAGAACATGAATTTTGCACTCGAGTTCTCTTTTCCTTGCCGGCATTCTGTCCATCGAACCATGCGTGCGTGAATAAACTCCCGCCGGCTCAAAGCTGCAGGACATTGTGACGTAGAGTGACAGCAGGGTATTGGAGAGTGGCACACTATAGACTATTTTAATTTTACCAAGTAAGGCCTACTGGGCTATATAGCTCTCTTTCAGAAGCGACCTGGCCACAATTGATAGCTCAATGTGGAAAATCCTAGCAAACAAACACTGTAAAGAAATGTTTCTAAATGTGGAGTGAAAAACCGGAGGACCCCGAGAAAATCCACGCGACCACAGAAATAACATGCAAACTCCAAATATACAGGCGTCAGGGTCGAGATCGAACCCACAAACTCATGTATACCAGGCGAGGTAGTTAACATCTCGCCACTGTGGTGAACTGTAGCAACACGTGTGCGCCCCACCAGCAACACAGCCACCTTCGGTCAAGCTGCTTGCCTTACTCACCCTGCCCGGTGCTGGTGCTCGATCACCCATGAAGGGGCTCTGAGTCGAAATCGTTTTTTGGTGGGAGGACCCCTTTCACTTTCATGAAATCCCAGTGAGATGACAGAAGAGATGTCGACGAGAGATATAGATATAGCGATATAAGAGCAATACAGACAAGGCTGGAGGTGTGATGAGAGATGCAGACAAAACAGAGGTGAAATATACTTGTTTTTTCTGATAATTGACTTGGTATGTGGATTCGCATTTTTTAATCTTTATATTAAGTTCGCTTGCTTGCTTGCTTGCGTGCTTGCGTGCTTGCTTGCTTGCTTATGACCGTGCAAATCTTTCGGTCGTTTTTTAACCCACTTCCCGTGATCCAATGGAGCTGACATTTTCCACACAGACTCGTTGTGCGTGACAATTAATTTTTGTGAAATTTTTTTCCAAAATGTTACACTGTTTAGGGGAAAAAAAATGTAATTACCAATTGCTTAATGCTGGCAGACAATCATCTGACCCATAGGTGGCAGCCATCTCAAGCCAGAGGACGAGAGGACTCTAGCCGCCCCGCATATAAAGGATTTATAGTGAAAAACTTTGTTTTTACGGGTTAATTTTTTACGTTATATGTTTGATGCACCATTATTGTTTTTGTCATGAATCCTAAGCCCACTTCGGCTGCTTGGGGTGTCTAAGCATCTGCTTACGCCTTGCACAGCCATTGATCCTGCCCCTACGGACCTCCCCAAAGTGTATTTCCCAGAATCCCTCCTCTGCACTCCAACTGTGCCACCAATGGATGTGCAACGGAGGGGTTTCCCTATGTCAAAGACCCTGCCCGGATAGCCTTAACATACTGTTGAGGCAAGCGGTGTTAGCGAATAGCACCAATGAAGATCGGCACGGCACACGAGGGGGTGGGTGGCCAGCACCACGTACATACTTGGCCAGGTTCCAAGCAAAGCACGCCTTTTTTGCAAAACAATAACACGCTGGGTTGGCACTGATGTCCTCGTATCACTGGCGCATCATTGGCGCATGCATTGGGATTATCTCCCCGTGCACTTTTTTGCTGGTGCTGAATGGGCAGAGCCATGCCGAACATTACTGGCTGCTGATCGTTCATCATTAGCCAATGTCTATCAACTGCTGTATGAATGTCTCCCCAAGCCGTCGTAAATCTCACACGATTCTGCGACGCGACAACAACCCATCCATCTGCTCCTCGTGTTGCTGCATGTGAGCTGAAATCAGCTGAAGATTACAACTGTAAATGCAGATCTCATCAGCGCCTGGTAAATGCTGTCAGGACAACTTGTTGCTATGACGGTTAACCTTCCATCTCCAAAAGGTTATAGAATCGTTAATAAAGAGCCTCAATTACAACGTTGCACTGTGACAGGCAGGATTGGTCGATGTAAGCACCAATCAAGAATATTAATAACAACTGCAGGTACGATTGCAATGCAAAAGAGATGTGGTCTACAAGTATAAAGAAGTTTCGGTAGCGCCATTCATATGTCTTTCAATTCCTGTGTTATACAATTCTAATTTCTATAGGCGATCACATCGGCAGGAGATATTGAAGCGAATAGGTTTGGAAATGTTTTAAACAGATGGCAGGAGTTGGCATTGTATTGCCTACAGCTTGCACAAAATAGAAAAACTAATTTGGCTTTTTTAAATAATCAGGGTGAGCAGGAACTCACAGGTGCTGCATATTTGTATTGGAGGTCCATTTTATACAACAGTGCTCGCCGTCTGTGTTATGAGATGGATTGGAGACATGTGAATATTGTATTTCCGAATAAAAACAATTTTAATAAATATTCAAAAAAAAGTCAAAGTGATTTTTTTTGCACGTAAGAGCATTCAGACTGCTCATCTCCCGTTACAGCCCTGAGCCAGTCAAGGAAATTCTTAATTCCTATAGCATGGCAGAGTATATCAAACGGACAGCCACCAGTATTGACGACCCCACAATGTGGTATCTATTTTATTGGCCACGGGATGATGAGCCGAGTCAACCCTCAACCAGGATTTGAACTTGAAACCTTCCAACTGGGAATCACTCTACCACTGAGCAAACGAGCCGATGTTTTGTTAAACCTCTTAATATTTCTATCGAAACTTATTTGAACAAAGAGACTTAAAATATATATTTAAATTTCTATTTAAAGCTTTCGTGACTGCAGGGATTCATCTTCTTGGTTCTTTCGGTAAAGTCACGTAGAATGAAAATAATAAAATAATAAAAATAATAAAAAGTACGTTTTATTATTATTATTTTCATTCAACGTGACTTTACCGAAAGAACCAAGAAGAATATATATTTAGATTTACTTCTTTGCCCCAATTTAAATGCAATTGTTTGAAGGAAGCTTGCTATGATTCTGTACAAACGCTCACAAACCAAAATTGTGTGCAACAGATGCTTACTTTTTGGCGAGACAGATTGTTGGCAATAGGTGACTTTCTTTCAGGAGTGAGACAAAGAGCTCTTTATGCCGTACATTCACATGCAGAGTGCAACGTTTATCCGTGCAACAAAAAAAGAGAAGACGTTTTTAAATGCGGCACATTTTCACGTGAAATAAAATATCTCGTCGCGGGGTTTCACAAACACCTTCTGGCACAAACCAGCGAGCCCCTGGCACCAATCATGTGCTTTATTGTCCTTTTCTCGGCCTCAGTAAAAGCGTGGACTCTTGCTCACGTACAATGTTATTTTTGGAAGCGCATGCAGCCAGTCCGGAGAGTGGTTTATGTATGTAGCTTCCAGGAGCCAGGTTAAAAAAACACTGTTGTAACCCACTGCAGATACTGCTTTTTCATTTTCCTTCCATTTTCTCCAATTTTCTTTTGCTTAACAGTGTAAAAAAGATAAGTGAAAGCGATGTCAAAAAAATTGCCGTTTTCCCAATTTTCGGAACTAAATTCGCATTTTTTTGTATGCTAAGCCATCATTGTTTCTATCACTTAAATTAACTTAACTATTGCTCAAAAACATTATTATACATGGCAACTACCTAATGATGTGATGGCGCAGTGGTTACATCACCACGCTAGGAACCCCGTGACCTGAGTTTGATTACCAGCCATTACTAACATCAGTGGCAAGTCATATTTGAATGATCCTAGTCCACCACAATTAATCAAGTCATGCTGAAAACTGGGGATGAAGTATGGTCAAACAACTCCTATGGTCAACACATTGTGAAGAAACCTTGATTCAGCAGTGGATTGACAAAGGGTTGTAGATTTCTATTAAAGTTCCGTAAAAGAACAGACCGATGTGATTATGTCATTATTTATGAAAGCAAACTATGGAATACAGCTTTCATACACACTAACATATGCCATTTTCCGACTTGGCCACACAGCGCCTCATTGCATTCACCACAAACCACTTTTACAATAACATTTGCTCTATTTATTATTTGTCTAAAAAAAAAGATTTGCCAGTCATCTAATCCACTTGCAGAGTTCTGGAGAAAAAAAAAAACCTGTAAAATATTTCGTGTTTATTTGTTGAGCGAAAATATTGCGTCAGTACTCGAGTTAATATTATTTTTGTTAAGGTTTGTTTAAAACTTACATTGGTTCTTCCGAGACCTCCGCCTCCGCTTCCTCCTGGAGGCCCTGTGCTTGCTTAAGCCACGGCAGCTTAGCTTCCACTGGAAGTTTTTCTGCACAAAGCAAGACATAGTTGACGTTACATTTCCGAGTGATACTCCGCTTCTCGGTGGTGCCTAAGCAAAAAAAAACATAACAACTCAACACGTTCATCAATAATACTGTGGTCTCAATTGAAAAATATGTCTATTTAAGGCAATGTTTCAGACAATCTATGTGCTATGATGAAGGCCCATTGCCCACAAGCGTCACCTATGACAGCATTGTGTGTTTTATGTGTCCCCCATTTAAGGTGGGGTCGTTGACGAATGTGTTGAGGATTTTTTGTTTATTTGAGCTCAAAAAAGTTTTGGGGTTGTTATAAATTAAAATAATTTACTTAAAATTAAAATATATGTCTTTGCATCGGTCAATAAAAACAAACCAAGAAATGTAACTGAACTATGTCGTAAACAACTGCTAAATAGATATAAAAGTCACTGATATGTAAGTGGAGGAGTGTCACAGTGGTAAGCGCCCTGCGCTGTAAACCCAGCAACCTGTGTTCGATTCCCCGCAATGAGCAACATGAACGAAAAGCAATAAAGAACCAGTCTTAGCCTCCACTTCACCAGCCAATTCTGACCAGGATGATGAAGTATGGTCACAAAACCCCAATGACTGACATAGTGTGAGCAATGTATTTTTTTTATGTAATACATGGGCAAATATTACCTGCAGAGGAAGCTGCTAATAGTGCAATGAATTGGACCACATGTGGCCAGCATTGTGAATAATGAGTTATCTTATTGTTATTCAGGGATTTGGAGAGAGAAAAAATGTAACTACAGTAAGATAAACATGCTCACAAGAGATGTTTTTGTGAAGATCCGTGAGTAAAATACATGTAACGTTGACTGCTAATCACGAGGGAAAGGATAATTTTACAATTAAAATAAGCCCTAATTTTTAAAATAAATTACGCATGTGTGCAAGCACGGTACTTAAAATACTTTACTCCAGTCGTCATTACAACAACAACAAAATATGGCTAAAAGTGAAAAACATTTAATCAACTAAAGTTTCAGGCAATGACCATTTGACAAACGAGCAAATTACAGGGATTTCTCTTTCATGTATAAGGCGGCATATACGTTTTTTTTTTATCACGTTTCGTGAGCAAAGCGGCCAGCAACAAAGGAGCACTGTTGAAGGTATTGTCGATATTATTACATATTTGTAACCCAGCACTTTGGAGCTGGGATCGATGTTTGCGTTGGACCATCGACCCCCAGCTCCAAAGTCCTTCTGTTTGCGTGGATCTTGCGAGCGTTGTCATGTGCAGGGGAAACCCCATCTGTCAGGTTGCAAGCTGGGTCAGCAGACGATACAGGAAGTAATTTGCTGAAATCTGTACAGAAATTCGAGCGCTATGTCCCCACATGCGTGGGTTTGCTCTGGTGCCATCGCTTCGTCACATGCAAAAAATAAATACTTCATGAGGAATTTAATAACCATCACGAATATGTCTGGACAATTGTATGTCTGTATGTTGGAATTATTGAGCACCGTACGTAGCTAACCGTGCTAATCGGTGGTGCGGGGAAAGGACAACAAACTAAACACAAGAAGAAATTCTAAAGAAATGAGTTTTCAATCGAGATTTTAAAGCGGAATAGCTCCAGTAGCTTCCTAATATCGGAAGGGAGAGCGGTCCAGATGGCCACAGGAAGCGCATCTGAAAGCGTGCGATGCACTGACTGTCAATGAGTAATGAGTGAGGCTTTCATGGATAAAGGAGATTAACCACTTCGGGCAAAAAGGCCTCCACTCTTCCACTCGTCCAGACAACTTCGAAGAGGTGGGAGCACCCACACTTTACCTCACCACACGTGACCTCTGCCAGTCGACTAACTGTGGGGGCACAGACGCCAAGGGGATTTCATAAACTTGCACCAATGTTGACTTAAAGCTTTCGTGACTGCAGGAATTCATATTCTTTGGGTCTTTCGGTGAAGTCACGTAGATCTTTCAACCTATCTCGGTGACTTTACCGAAAGACCCAAAGAATTTGCACCGATGTTTCACCGGCCATAACGGCGACCACCGGAAGTCCAGTGTGATAACCATTACGCCGCGGCAGGCATCCACACTGTTAGTAAGAATTATAACAAAGGAAAATTACTTACAGCCTAAACTTCTGCCCAACCACGAATGCAGTGCACAGAAAGTTTTTTTTTTTTTAGCGCGAACAACACACTGACCTTTTATCTTGTAGCATGGGACAGGAACGATGCACTCCTCCTTGATGTGAGGCTTGATCTTGGGGTTGCAGCCGCCGGCATGGTGGCCCCGGTAGTCCATGCACAGAACCACTCGGTAGCGGAGGCCGCGTCCGCACGTCACAGTGCACTGCACTCGCCGCACCGGAGAGACGCAGCCGTTCTCTCACCGCCGCAGCCAAAGCGATCGCGTGATTCAACTCTGGCGGGTGTGCTTCTGAGCTGTGACCCGTGTCGCTCGTTGCTCGGCGTGACGACATTTTCAGCAACGGGAAGGAGCTCCCGGCGTGCGGGGCGAAAAAACGTCGGGACGTCATGCCGAACAACAACGCGGCAACAAGCCTTCCCTACCCTCCTCCCCCCCGAACAAAAACACAACGGACAGCGAGCTGCACAGCGGCAGAAGAGTTGTGAATTTTCGTCTTCTTGTATTTTACCCTCGCAGGGATGCGGGCCGATGGTCGAGACTAACGACAAAAACTGAAAAGTGCACAAGGAAGCGTGGAGAGATGTGTGCCTTACATTTTGAGGCAGAATGAGAGAGCCACATGCAGGTTAAAGATATCATAGTGACTGTCAATAAAAGCCACTGGGCAGAACACATCCGCGGCCAATGATCGAGACTAACAACTGAGTGCCATAATAATATGATAATTGGTTTTTTACCCTTTTATCTGTCAACAAAACTGACAAGGAGTCTTGTTTGCATTGACCACAATACCTGCAGTCGGAATGCAAAAAAAACACAACTCTGATAATGTATTCACTGTCCTTGAAATTGATTGGTCCACACCCGAGACAGCTTTCCTTAGAGCCTAGTCTCACATGGTGTTGGACCAGATGACGCCAAAAGTGCGCAATCAGCTCGTGTAGAGTTGCTCCGTGGATTGTAACATCGCGGGAACCCAGATAGATGGAGACGGCTTGGAGAGGCCTTCATCCAGCAGTGGATCGATCAAAGCTGATTATGATGGTGAGGATGTATTTTATCTCAGCTCTTCTTGTTTCATCTCAATTGGCCATAACGGCCGAGGCGTCTCGCTGCTCGAATGAGCTCATCTGCATTGGTGGGCCCGGAGCCAGCGGTGGAAATCTCACATTCTCTTGGTCGGGGAAGGGGGGCTCTCATCTGCTGCTAAATAAAGGGAGTTGACTGATTTATTGAGATGTGTAAAAATTAATATGAGATATAGAAAAAATAATTTCGATTACATTCCATTATCTTTTTAATTAATCAGTGCCTTGGCATTGGGAGGGCTTCAGAGAGTATTGAATTAGAACAGCTGATGATAACAATGCTGATTAGCATCATCAATTCCCTATTTTAAGAAGTCAGAGCCAAGGAGTTTTTTTTTCTTTTTCTAGACTACACACACACACGGATACAACTACACAGGGTTATGCAGTTGTGGTGTTTAGCTCTCTGATGTGTTCTTTGGTCGTACCGCATATTGTTCTGCACAATATCCAATGTTTCCCTCCACATGGTTGCGAGCTTCTTCAACTCTCAGCACGTGGAGCGAAAGAGCAGATATCATGCCAAACAACATGTACTACAACCCAAAAACACGTTAGGGAGCTGTGCACAGTAACTGCTTCGGGATGAGTTTAATATTAGAAATGTTTCGATTTGTAACTTTTTGAGCACATTGTTGGATCATTTTGAGGAATTTCCATCGCCCGATGCCACGTGACGCCACTTTTCCTTGAATAAGAGCGCACGTTAAGTCAAACAGAGCGACGTCACTTCCCACGATGGCGCATATTCTGATCAATTCCAGACGGTGTTTTTTTTAAATGATCCAAACTATTGTATCCCTACCAAATTTTTACAGTTTTGGGATTAATCGGAAAATTTGAAACACAGCTCAGCAACTACACATATAGAATGAATAATAAATTATAAGTGGAAAATACTTTAGAATCTAATTGGTAAGCTTAGTTGTGAGATTTGGTCTTCAACTTACCAGCGAGCTGAAACAATAATACTTGACACACAGAACGCTTCCACGCATTCCAATTTAATTTGTTTGGCTGTGTCGGCCGGTGGAGGGTCTGAACGACACACATTTGGACAGATAATTCCACGGCCTAACCCCAAAAACCCATCATGAATCACAGCTGGGCTGTGCAAGGTCAAGCACGGGAGCGCAATTGTGCAATGCGTACACGCAAGCAGCCGGGGGAGCGGCCGTGCGACGCGGGCGGGGGCTGCTTGCACGCTGAACGTCTCTCCGCACCGCGCGTAGCCAACCGTGCTAATTAGAGGTGCGCGCTTACCGAAGACCACTCCTGGGCGAGCCACCGCGGGCAGTCGAAGAGGTTGCACGGCTGGGACGCGACAGGCCTCAGCGTGTACATGCACTTCCAGTCCTCGGCAGGGTGCAGGATGCCGTGGAGGTCTTCCTCCACGCACGCCACCGAGCGGCTCTGAAGCCCTCCGCCGCACGAGCTCGAGCAGGTGGTCCACGGACCTCCATCCCAGCTGCACCAGCAGACACGCGCGCGGGCGGGCACGCGCGTACTCACATGCGTGCACGTGTACGTACAGCGAGGAAATCTTTTTGATTGAGAGGGGGTCAAATACTTATTTCCGTCATTAAAATGCAAATCAATTTATAACAATTTTGACATGCGCTTTTCTGGATTTTTTTGTTGTTATTCTGTCTCTCACTGTTCAAATAAACCTACCATTAAAATTATTGAACTGATCATTTCTTTGTCAGTGGGCAAACATACAAAATCAGCAGGGGATCAAATACTTTTTTGCCTCACTGTATGTACACATGTGTACGTACGTACACATGCGCTTATAGCACTGTTCTTAATTGCAAGGCCCGGCGGACCATATAGATGCCCCCGGCGGCCTTTAGTGCGGCCACTGACGTGTGGCCCCCAACAGTACACACAAACAGCCCCCCCCCCCAACCACCATCATCGTGCTTTCAAACCCCAATGGTTTAAAATGTGTGGCGGACCTCACACTGATGTCTTATCAGCGAGAGTGGTCCCCCTCTGAAAATTAGTGAAGAGCACTGGCTTACAGCTCTCTCTCTCTCTCTCATTCAGCCATTCATGCTGCTGCTGGAACATATGCCACTTCAGAGTAATATTAACTCGGAGTGTAAGAATGTACCACTCTAGCATTTCAATGAATTTATTCGAGAATCTTTTCATTTTTTCTGTGGTGAATATAGTGGCCTCTAGGGGCTGCAGGGGTCAAGCGAATGTGTAATATACAATATATGCATTGAAATTCAAATTCATTCTCACAAGCGACAGCTCAGACGTCACATGGTGGCTGAAAAATCCCCTATTTTGTTTTCTCCATCCAATTCATTCAAAACCTCAAATCCGTCTCTTGCCCTAAACCTGGCACTAATCTCACAAGGACAATTACATACTGAAACGTGCATACCGTGGGATTGGTTGAAAGTGGTCGTAGGACATTATCTGTTTGTAACCATCACTGTGGGGAAAAAAAAGAGAGAAAATAAATAAGCCAGACGGTCCTCGACATGTACATTCACATCCAATAAACGTTTGAAACCGTGTTGTGCGGTGAGATGTACGGCACTGCGGAATGCGGAGCATGTGTGGGGCAATCGAATGAGTCACATGCCGCCATACACAAATATACTGTACATGTATATCAGTTACTGTTGATTCATTTAACATTGGCAGCGGTGGAAAAGCAACCGTAACAAAAAAAAAAAACATTCGAGCATAAAACTTCCCTAAAATTAAGCGACACGCAACAGGTGACGTTTCGGGCAGTGGCACTCCTTCACGGCATCTCCCTGCCTTGCCATCTCTCTGCATTGGCATCGTTCTGCCATGACCGAATGGTCATTGCCCGACATGCACAGCGCGTCTTTCCACGGCAGTCGTGAATGGAGATATGCGCAACATTTCCCAGAACCTGGCTGGGCAGGGCTCCATGTTGCACTCCCGCAGAATGGGCTTGGGTTTCTTGTTCTCCGGGTAGTAGTGGCAGTACTGGTCAGCCACCACGCGGCCCAAGCGCACGTCCACACACTCGGCCGAGGTCAGCTGGTAGCCTGTGCAACGGCAAGAGCCAAAGTTCATTCGTAGACCTACGCTCGGCGACACGGCCATCAAATTCTGTTATTGTGCACTGCAAGGGAGGAAGGAGCGAGCTTGGTGGGGGGCGGAGGGGTAGGGTGTGAGCGGCAGGGCGTAGGGCTGATTGGCGAGGGAACGCTGAGGGTAAGGGGGTTGTTGGGTGGTCGTGCTGGGGTGGCCCTAACATGTCCGGGCGCCTTTCACAGCTCGGGCAAAAAAGAAAAAAACAGAAACATAAATCCTCGTACTTAAACGGCAACACTCTAGATCGCTCCCAAATGACGGTGTGGTGGTCGGACCCCAAGCCCTTCACCCTGGTGACCCTTGTTCAATCCTGATTTATTATGGGAACAACCTTACATTCACCACCATTTATTGCCTCCTGATAGAAACGCAAGGGGCATATTTTTGGCCATCTCCAAGCGACGGGCCGATCAAATGCAGCCCTGCAAATTCCGTCCGTGTGTTTTTCTTTGATTTATGCAGAAATTCCCCACGATGCCATATATATATTAGGAATGCATTTGACATTACAAACCTACTCCCAATGTACACTTAATAGCAACAAGCTTGTCTTTTTTTTACACTCTTGGCTGCACTGCCTTATTGTTCTGTGAACTTTCGAGTTTGTCAGTGCAAAATGGCAAACCGTTATATTTCAGGCCAGCTGGTAATTTATGTCGGGCATCACCAAAGCACACAGTGTTTTGTAACGTGGAGGTTAAGTGTTAGATATTCGACCAAAAAGCAAGTCTCTGTGTGCAATGTCAGGGTCAAAAGTTTTTTTTTCAAAACGGCAAACATTAATTTAAATATTTCGATTTAAAGCTTTCGTGACTGCAGGGATTCATCTTCTTGGTTCTTTCGGTAAAGTCACGTAGAAGGGAAGTAATAAAATAATAAAAATAAAACATAATAAAATAATTCTCACGACGTTTCGGCCACAACGCAAGCAGCCGTCCTCAGGTGAAAACCAGGTCCGTCGAGGCGACAGAGTCTGAATGAAGCAGCACACGAGCTTGGAGCATATATATAAGCTGGGCGCATTGACAAAGGAATTTGCATATCAAGAGGAATTTAGCATATTCATGGGAAATGCAGGAATGTGATTAGTACTGCATATGCATGTGCATTATGCAGGATTAACAGCATCAAAGGGAGCTACAGTTGCTGCTGCTGCTGCTGCAGTTGCTGCTGCTGCAGTTGCTGCTACTGCTGCTGTAGTTGCTGCTGCTGCTGCAGTTGCTGCTGCTGCTGCAGTTGCTGCCTTATCCATTTTTAATATAATATAATACATAGTGTTATATTAAAAATGGATAAGGCAGCAACTGCAGCAGCAGCAGCAACTGCAGCAGCAGCAACTACAGCAGCAGTAGCAGCAACTGCAGCAGCAGCAACTGCAGCAGCAGCAGCAACTGTAGCTCCCTTTGATGCTGTTAATCCTGCATAATGCACATGCATATGCAGTACTAATCACATTCCTGCATTTCCCATGAATATGCTAAATTCCTCTTGATATGCAAATTCCTTTGTCAATGCGCCCAGCTTATATATATGCTCCAAGCTCGTGTGCTGCTTCATTCAGACTCTGTCGCCTCGACGGACCTGGTTTTCACCTGAGGACGGTTGCTTGCGTTGTGGCCGAAACGTCGTGAGAATTATTTATTATGTTTTATTTTTATTATTTTATTACTTCCCTTCTACGTGACTTTACCGAAAGAACCAAGAAGATTAATTTAAATAATTTGAAAACAAAAAACTCTTCCAACTCTCGGGGCCCCACGAATCCACGAAGGGGATAAAATGTCAGTAAATGTATCCAGCATAATTTCCCAATTATTTACTCGGAAAAATATTCAGGGGAAAACACCTCCCACCACGCCCCCCCCCCGTCAAGGCTGCGCTAACATGCGCGTGTGTGAAATTCAGCACCGTCGTGGCACTAATGCATTCCAAAAGCTTCGACCACGGTGGCATAGTGTTTACCATACAAACGCGAACCTTGAGACCGAATTTTTAGAAAGCATTTTTTGTCCCACTCTTAATAGACGCGAGAAGATTGCTCTTTCAATAGAAGCACTTGAGGAGGTGAGGAAAATGCAAAAAGTATGCAAAAATCGTGGGGCAGGTAAAAGCCTTTGTGTTGCCGCACCTGCTCTCAGGCTTGTACTGAATGTGCCCGCGGCGCTGACGCACAGTGCTCGGGCTTTAAGCCATAGGCATCCAGGTATGTAGATGGCCGCTGTATAAAAAAAATCCCTTATAATCCACGATAACACGCTAAATCCTTCAAAAGATATCATCGATATTTGTTTCTTGTATGGGTAATGGGCAAAGTATGTACGGTGCAGAGGAGGCGGTTCCTTCGACTTGCGCCGATTATTTTCTTTGAGCGAAAGTTTCAGATTAAAAAAAATAAGAAAGAAAACATCCATCTGCATGTCGCGTCGAAAAACTACCGTTCATTTCAGGCGATGGAATTGGAAATATTCGGGCCGCGAATTTTTCTCACAAGGGCCACGCGTTTCGGAGTTGAAAACAAAAGCGGCCGTAGCAGGGCCGAGAGGACCCAAAACACCGGCGTTCGAAACAGCACAACATAGAGGAATGTGAAGAAAGAACATATTTGTTCTTACAAAAAAAAAGTCAGTGGCTTAAATTTGTATAAAAATGTGCTATGACCTAAAAACGTCCTTATTTCATGGTAACTGTGTTTAATTCGTAAAAAAATCATGTATACCTTACAGTAGGTGTTCAATTGATTCAAATATTGAATATGCTTCAAAACAAAAACGTTCTGTACTCTGCAAGTCAGGAATCGGCACCATGGGAGAGCAAATGAATGATTAAAAACAATTAAATTACAAATTTTACAATCCAACGATGCCCCCCACTAATCAGCCTGGGTGTTCATAGACATTAAATTATAATTAAAACGTGGCAATTAAAATGCTTTTTTCAGTAAAAAAAAATACTTTCCTCAGCATATTTCAAAACTGTGTTAATTTGTATTATCAGCCAATGTATATTGACTCATATATAGAGACTACTTTTCATGGTGTGAATGGATGAGTTTCCTATCCAGCACAAAGCACTGTGTACGCTTTCTTTTCCCGCCAGTAAGTATTATTATCAGTCGAGAAACCTTGCAAATGCGTTTGTGTGTGCGCAGAGCTTGCGTGTTTGAGTCTCCTCGAGCTCCTCAAACTCCCACCCACAGCCTCAGAAGTGCCTCCTTACTCCAACTAAAAACTCCATTCGTTAAAACTGTGGTGAAATAAAAATATCTCCAGTTTAACACGTAGGCTCATCCGCACACTTGCTTCCCTCCCTTCACCCCCCCTCTTTACTACCCTATTAAACCAAAACACAGAGCGAACTTGCACCTGTACCTCACGTCTTCTGGTTTTTTCTTTCCTCCCATGTGTTTGCGGCTGTCTTTTTCAATTTGCGTGTGTTCATGTCACTGTTAGGCTAAAGTACGCATGCACGACGAGCACCTGTACCCGACTTTTCACATTACACACGCAATGTTTTTTTGAATCGCGCATGTTTCATTTAACGACTGTTAAATATTTCGTTGAGTTAGTCGTGCAATATTCCTTAGGGACCCTGCACTCGTTCTCCACAACATTGACGTCTGTTGTCTTTGTTTGCTCCTGCTGTGCTCACGCACCACGGATCTCCCTGGCAAAATAGCCAGGCAACTCGCTGAACGGCACCATCCGTGCGACAAATCAACATGTGCTTAAATGTTCAGCTAGCACGTTGTGCTCTTTACCGAGACATACGCTTGAAAATATATATATCATGTTTTCATTGTGTACGCAGCCAGACCAACAGAATTAATTAAACATGCTCAAATAATTTTCCCATATGCAGCATACTTTCTCTGAACAGCTATTTCATTAAGCCGTCTTGAATGGAGGGACAGCTTGGCCTCAGTGTATAAGAAAGCTACTTATCTCTAACACTAAAATATCACATTAACCTCCTATGAGATTTAGACAGATCCAGAACTGTCCCCTCGGGTCCCTCCAAAAGCGTACAACACATGTGACTCAAAAAACATCTGAATTAGACTGACTTCATAAATTACGGACACAGCGAGCACTGTGTCAACGTTTGCAAGCGATGTGAAAACCATCGCGTTCAACGGACATACCGTTTACAAAGCAATTTACATTTCTGCTTCTTGCAGAGGACACGTACTCTTTACCCCATGGTTAATCTTTTTTTAAACCAATGACAGTTAAGTTGGTTGAAACCTCCGCTTATTTTTCCTTTTCCACTTCATGTAAAAGTCTAACTCGATAATTGTTTTTTACCCTTCTATCTGGCAACAAAACTGACACCTTTTTTACAAGGAGTCATGTTTGCATAGACCACAATACCTGCAGTTATAATGCAAACAAAAAACATAACTCTGATAATCGACAGAGCATACATTATCAGAGTTATGTGTTTTGTTTGCATTATGACTGCAGGTATTGTGGTCGATGCAAACATGACTCCTTGTAAAAAAAGGTGTCAGTTTTGTTGCCAGATAGAAGGGTAAAAAACCAATTATCATATTTTTTTACTGGCAAATGAGGTTCCAAAAGTCTAACTCGTCAAATTATCCCATTCTATAGATGATAAAACTCTCAAAAAGAGTAGCACGGTTGGATACGTACGGTGGCGAACGAAGTTCAACATACATACATGCAAGATGCACCCCAAACTTACGCTCGGGTTGTACACAAATCGGATTACACATAAACACACAGTCGAGAATTATAATACGCACTCACATTTTCTTTGAAGTACAGGGGAGAAAGTGCGTCATATTCCAAAGATTTCAGTGCTAAATTGAACATCATTTTAGATGGAAATGAAAGCATGTTTCCCTTGAATTCGACATGAAAATAACTGTCACAAATAAAATAAAACAATGTATGTCTTAGCACTTATCAGCAGACCATTATTTTCAGGGATGCTACGGAGAATTTACAGGCGGGTCCACCAAAACATCGTTTTTTTTAAAATGGGAACAACTCCTATCATACAATATTTTACTTTCTTTCCTGAAGAAGGTTCAATACTTTACCACGATAGCGGTTTTCCGCAACCATTAAATTGCAAATTGTATTGCAATAATATGTGTGCGATGCCACGTTGGCAGTGGTGCACAAGCACAAATAACAAACAAAAAAACTAACACATCCGCCATAACATTGCCCGAAGAATATGTCATAGGCGACGTTTAGGACAATGGTCCTTCTCCATCAACCTAAGAAGGCGATGCTTCAGACAACGATCTCCGCTATATATTTGTTTCCTCTTCAGGACAGTGTTATCGGCGAATGTCTCAAGTATTCATATATTCCATCACGGTGCTGCCCATTGGGAAAAGTGACAGACACAGAGCACACGTGGGTGCCATACCTCCACCACAGGTTACGGAGCATGGGAAGAAGTCCGTCTCACGCCACTGATGGCTGAGGGGCTGATAGAAGAAGAACTGGACCAAGCTCTCTCCAGGCCCCACAAATCTGCTCTGGGTGGGGGGGAGGGCAAAGAGCAAACAAACAGCATGTCAGTCACGCCGCACACTGCCAAACAGGATCCCGCAGCCTAGGGGGAATCAATTTGGAAGGACGGAGTCTTTCCTGAGTGGCTGTGTAGGCACGCTCACTCACAAAGGCAAAGATCCCCCGTACAGGCTTAACAGACTTTTGGGGCAAGCGCTGTTAGCGAGCGCCTATGAAGACCAGAGCAAGGCACATGAGCGGGTCGATCGCCAGCACAACGCCCCGCCGGCTTTGTCTCCTTCCTGGCAATGTTCACACACCGCACCAGGTACTCATTGGAGGCTGAGTTGACCTAGGGTTGGCCCAGGGCTGGTTCAGATAATCGTGACTGGTGTTGGCCATGACGGAGGAATAGAATTCGGGTCGCTGGGTTCATAGCGCAGTGTGCTAACCGCTGCACCACCACACACACGCACACACGCGCATGTGGTATTTGCATGCACTGTATTGTATCGGTTAACCATCTGTATGGTCCGCTTTCTTCAACGCGAGCTCATTGGTGATTATAGTTTATTTCGCAAGAATAATAAGCGATTCAAACATCGGGTTGGGTTGGCTTGCCAACTGAGCTAACAAGGCAAAATTTTGAATAAACATCGATGCCCATCCCCTGCACATCTTTTTTTCCAAACCAGCCTTAGGCGGTGGTGATTCCTAGGTTTTAGTTGAAATGCGCTCCTTTGACCAACTGATTTCACCACCACGTGATATCGTTTATTTTTTTTTGAATTTACCTTTTTTGGGACGTAATTTATCATAGTTAAATTATCAAAGGAATGCACAGTATTTTTGTTGAAGTACTCGTTACGTGAAAATATTTCCACGAATTTTCTGAAACTAAAAACTATAATCAAGCATCGGAGAGGGCTGCATTTGAAAATATACAACTGGTGTACACTCAACATTATTATTTTTAAGAGGTAAAAATCTTTGAAACTGCTCGCAATGTCGACGATCCCTTGCAAGCCAGATATAAAATCTCGGTGGAAGCAAGTCAAGGTTGGGTGCAAAAAAATAAATTGTAGTAGCCGTCCCATGTCTAATTTCACGATGGAAACAAAACAGTGAGTGTGCCACGGAATGTTAAACCAATGTGGCTGCCATCAATTTCCGTACTGGAATGCATCGCTTACAGACGGAACCCCTCAAGAGTTCAGTGCTGGCCCGGACATGGGGAAAAAGTGAGGGATTCTGGCGGGGTAGCCTCTCCTCTTGTTATAAATAGTAACAATCACTTTTTTTTTTACTATTTCAAAGCGAAATGTACAATGACCATCGCTGTCATCATTAGTAATCCGCAATTCACGATACGGGACTCCGTTTGCGACCTCCAGAAAAAAGTTTACATTTGTACGTAATATAGACCAGTGGTGTGTTTAAAAGGTTATAGAGGTGGTCTCCGGCTTATGACAATCCTCATTTACGAAGTTCATATAATTCCACCATGGATCTTACGGCGCAAAAACTTGATTTACAACGCATCTTCTGACACGACTCTGAACGCATTTGAACAGTCGGTCTGGATTCCAATGTGACTTGACGCAGAGCATTTGTTATTCTAAAGTGTCTTTGTGGACTTTTACCGATTAACCCCCTTTTAAATGTAGGTGATAAAAGGAAAAAAAAACACATCAGCAAGAGATGTGTCTACTGCTTCTACTGTCTATGGGAAAATAGGATCGGATTTACGATGGGGTTTCTGGGAAGCGTTGTGTTGTAAAAAACGTGGACTGCCTGGATTAAAAAAAAAGTATCAAATATACTGTACAGCATAAATAAAGTAAATACAAGCTGTAAAATTAATGTAAAAAATAGTTTTGCAAAGGTAATGTGTACCATATATTGGAACAACAAATTGGGATTATCCATATAAACAACTATGTGGGATTTAATAATAATAATATATTTGCTTAAAAAAGGCTATAAACACGTTATGGTAAATTTGGCATAGACAGTAAATTTACAAAATTCGTGTTAGAGCTCTCACAATAAACCAATAATGTAATGAAGACTGCAGCAACACAGGTACAACATGTATTGGGAATTAGAATATCTCACAATCCTAGAGGACGGGAGAACTACATGTAAACGCATCATCTTGAGTGGTGTACTGTTACGCAGGTGAAAAAACACGGACTTTAAATGTCCCAGGTTGCCCAGGACATCTTCCTCAAACAGAAGACGATCCTGAGAAAACCAGGTACTAGTGGCGACCCTAGCGCAATATTGTGCCAACAATCTAGTCGCTGTGCTACCTTTTAACGCTTTCCCGTTCTGAGACCTCTACAAGTTGCAGGCTGGGTCCCGTTTACCGCTGAATCTCGAAATGCGCACGCGGTTCAGCATTAATTTTTTTAGGGAGCCGTAGCGCCGTTGTTTTTTAAGACGCTGTACTCACCGCAGACAATTGTAGCGACACAACCGCACTGTATGGCAGCCGGTGCCAAACTGTACCACACGCCCTCCCACATGGCCATTCTTTCTTTCCTTCCGGTTCCGTTCAGACGACGTACACGCAAGTACGTCGTCGGAATGGGAGAGAGGGTTAAAGGCCACCAAACTGGCCAGTGAACGATGACTGTACGAGCGCACAAGCCCATCCGCTTACTTTGATCGTGAAGTCCGCGGTGAGTGGCCCGCTCATCTTGAGGACCTCCTTGTCATGCAGCAGCGAGAACTCGGCGGTGGAGTTTGCGAGCAACGCCGTCCCGGACCAATCCAGCCAGTGCGTGTTCCGCACCCCCTGCAGCGTCTTGCTCTCTACAACTGCCCTCCCACGTCACGGAAAACAGTTGGCAAACGTTACCGCTCTGTTGGATGATGATTGGTGAATGTTAAAGGGGGCAGCCCTGAAATTGGCTTACTCATGCCACTGTTCGTGCCACTCGACGAGATCGAGGGGCCTCTAGAGAGCCCATCGAGAAAGTAGTTGGGCTACTTTTTTCCGTGCTAGCCAGACGTCAGGGAAGAAGTGCGAGTGATCACACTATACCCTCACCCACCTGACCCGCTGATCGAATAATTGTGTTATAGCCCCATTTATATTTCTGGGTGGACAGAGGCGGGAGGCGGGGGTGGGAATAAAAAGCAAACTTTGTCCATTGCTTCGAATGCAATGCCTTGGAGACCGAATCGAGCCGGCAACTTCCAGTTTGCAAGTCGAGTGTGCTCTAACCATTGCACCAGGGCAGCATCCCTCCTCGTGGTTAGTGGCCATCAATTGCCTGTGAGCAGCGTGGGCAGCGGCAAGCACTCTTGAGTGGCACAGCGGTCATGCTTGCCAAGACACGTTCTTTCATTGTGGCTGCCCCACGTTCAAATAGAATGTGAACTGTTGACAGAAGTGCATTGGAACAGACCGTCTGAGAAAAAAAAACCACCTCATCACCATCATTGGCCACTGTGGCTAAGCTCTTTTAGAGAGCTAAGGGGAAATAATTGGTAGCCAAGGTTGCGTACGTTGGAGAGGAATAGATTGACGCAAACATTATCAAACGGTTTCACACGTAGGCTTTTGCGACCAATATAATCCATAATCGAGGGTTTGAACGACACGTTCAAACCCGCCACCACCCGACACAGCCAATTAGTAAGGTTCGTCACGTAAACAAAACATTCCAATTCGTTACTCGATCAGCACACACACCGGTGTGTTGGAGAGTAAACCCACTAACAACATTCACCATTCGAGTACTGCGGGTTCCCAGGCCCATGTTTAGTCCCACTTCCAGTGCCTCGGCAAAGCTGATACGCGAGCGTTTTTTGTCAGAACAGACAGATGAGAGGCGTTACTTTCTCATTCATTGGCACCACAAAAAGTAAAGTTATCTTTATGCGGTGTTGTTACACCTGTTCTAAAACGGTTGTAAATACAGCCTGGGCAACGTCAACACCTCACAATCCGTGCTGCAAGGTAACCGCCAGTGCAAAGAGTGCAAACCTACCAACTTTGGGTCACAAATTCCGCACAGATTTTTTTAAACGGCTTTCAAGACAAATGTGTTTTGCCACACTTTGTAATGGGGTTTGCCCGTACCTGCAGAGCCTCATAAAACACAGGCTCCAGCCTGCGTCTTGCTTCTCAAGCAAATCCTCATGTGTATTCGGTGTTTTACACACACACACAAATACATCATTTTCAATACTTTATTGCAATCATTTTTTCTGATGGTTCTAAGCCCGTGCCTGCTGTTTTGTGTTTGTTTTATTAGACTCCTGAGTCCCTTAGCAGAATTATAGCTTTTGCTGTGATATTTGTCTGATATTTCTTTCACATGGCCTGGATCAACTTGATGAAACCCAGGTCGCCCTTGCAAAAAAGGCAATTTTTCGTGTGTCTCAATGGGGTTAATTTCATCTCCAGGTCATGTTAAGGATACAGCAACAACTTTGTTTCATCGTTCAATTAGCCATCTTCACGTGTGTTTTAAATATCTCAAACATCAATTCACTCCTTGCCCCTATTTTATACAGTGACTCAAAACTTTATTTACACGTGGTATAGAGTACGGTCAAGTGGAGGATGTTGCCACAGTGGACTGGCAGATCGATTCGATCTCCCGGCAATGCAGTTGGAACAATGAGGCTCATTTATTAAATCCCCTCGCATCTGTCCACCCAGAAGTAAAAATGTAAGTTTGTATGTTGAACTTCTTTCGCAACGTATGTAGCTAACCGGACATGCGTGGGAAGGGCAACAAATGAAACACAACAAGCACTTCTCCAGAAATGACTTTTCAATTTATATTTAAATGTGCATAGCTCCAGTGACTTCACAATGTCGGAAGGGAGAGCGTTCCAGATGGCCGCAGACGCGCATCTGAAAAGTTGCACGATTGCAGTGACCGGCTTTGTTTGATGGTTAGCCAAAAGCTACTGTTGCGAGGATGACGGGAGTTTGCGTGATGGTTCATGCTCCTTGACGAGTGCACCAGTTATTCAGTCGGCAGGTTTGCGTGTGCGGCGGGGTGACGTACGGGTACCCCCACCTCTTCCGAGACATCTGGCCAGCATGGACGAATAGGCCAAATACCCTCTGGAGGGGCTTCTCTAGAACTCCCTCTAGCGGAGGTCTACCGGCAAAAGCATGGGCAAGCAATAACATGTATCTGCTACATGATGACATATACAGTTCGGCTGCAGTATGCGTGTCGCGATGATATGTATCGTGTACTGCGCATTGAAACATACAGAGGTGATTGGGGCCTTTGTTGATGATTTTTACGTGTCGGCTTCCATATGGCATGGTGATGATCGTTTCCTCCGCTGGATAAAAAAAAACACAGATTAAGGAAGTGAAATATTGACAAATGTAATGATACAGATATAATACAACATGGTATATTGTTATTACGTGACCAATGTCATTGGAATACAATAAGAAATACATGTTTATTGCATAAACATTTGGAAGAAATTACATTTTTCAGTTATTTTTGGTATACACAAAAACAGAGGAGCCCTAGTTAAGAGTAAGAATATAATCATTTCCTGTAAACATTTCAACCATGCGCCTTCATCTTTACTCTGACAAGCATTTATGTCTTTACAATCAGACCAGATAGTAATGGCTTATCATCCAAGACAATGGCTAACCTAGGGCTTGATTTTGTTTCCTTGCAAGATGGTTGAGCCAAGAGTAAATGGTTATTGCACGAGTGAGCTGTTTGTGATCGCGAAACATACGTTTGTCAGAAGAAGACAGCTGAGGCCTCGTCTGTCCTCTCACGAGGCGGCACGTGGTGCCATTGCCGCCGCAGACTCCGCAATTGTCATCCTTGGCTTGGCTGCCCAGCTGGTGGTCACACCCCACGTGCTGCCAGGGGACGGGCAAGACACGGGGGGGTCATTCAATGCAAAGGGCCCGTGCACAGCAACTGTTCAGCGGTTTGCAGACTCAAGCCGCAGCCACCCCACGCGTAACTCCCACTGGCCGTGTTTTTTTTGGGTGGGGGGGGGGGACACTGTGTGTAAAAGCATATACAAGCAAGCACTCTGTTTCGTGTGTCTCCACGTAGAAATACGTTACAGTTGAGCTCATCGGCGTATCTCGCTTTCCAGACCAATATAATCCAGCAGCGTTTATGTAAGTGAGCAAGCTCTGGGACTGATTTCGACATCCCTAGGTCTCATCAGTTCAGCCAGTCTTGTTAAACAAGTGCTGCTTGATCATTTTGTTCTGGAAAGCCAATCGACCGTTGATAGACTAAACATTTGTTATACGTGTATGTGGAGACAGAACTGAGTTATGCTTATATGCACACTTTTTCTAAGATTATTTTTTCGCACGAGTTAAGTTTTCAGCGGAGAGCTTTCCACAAGCGTGCTTGAGTTAGAGGCCAAATAACGAATTATGGAAGCACAAAATTCTCAGAAAAACATCTACTGTTGGCCCATATTGTTGTGATATTTTACTAACTCTACCATGTGGTAGGAAAATATGTCAAGTCGTGATGATGTTATACACATGTAAGATGAAACAAAATTGAGGTCAGAATTCACTTTAATTTTAATTCAAAAAAATCTAGCATTTTTTTGCATTTCATTCTGCGAAATGTTGAAGTTAAAAGCAATTCCATTTTCTTTTTTGTGCCTGCAATATAAATGAAAAAGAAAGGAAGGATCCAATAAAAATGTAACACCCTTCAGCACAGATTTAGTGCACTTCAGCATCAAAGTTGACTGCCAGACTTGACAATGGCAAAATGGGGTAAGACAAGACTGCAAGGCCTTGGAAATGCAAGCGTCAAATTCGATGATCCCAATGACACAATCAGACCTACCAAAAAAGCGTGGCGGCTGCAAAATATGAAAGGCCAATTGCATCGCGGCCAGTTTGAACACGAGTCATCACATCACCGGTGACCAGCATTGACAGCGCTGATGAATATTGTGAATAGAATTGCGAGCAATGCACGACTGTTGAGCGAAGTGTCCTTCAAACAACTACACAAAAGAAGAGTGTTAAGTGGTCTGTACCTCCCCAGACTTCTATTGATTAACTGCCACTCCGCGGACAAACTGCCACAATGGCCAAACAAATTTCTCACAATTTAGCATCGTGGAGCCAATCTCTTTCAGACTTTAATAACCTCACGTGTGCGCGTGTGCCATAAGTGCTTTTTTTTGTTTTGTTTACAACTGCTAATGCTATAAATTAGCCAAATGCACAACGTTCCCGAGATATTGAGGGATTCGGCGGAAACGTAGCGAAGGCGAGAGAAATTGCGCAACCAAGCAGACAAATAATGATGGTGCAATAGTCATTTAGGCTTTGGGCTGGACAAGCCGCTGGAAGGGATGATAGCCTGGTGGTCGAATCTAACGTTGGAGTCCATAATAGAGGTTTTTTGGGTTAGATCGCGTAAAAATACATAAATGCGTCGTCAAAACCCGCCACCAACACAGCCAACTGTCACCCATAACTAGTTGTGGATGATATTGGTCGCGAAAACCGACGTGTTAAACTAAAGTTGGAGTGGCAGATAAAGTATGGCTCCCATGGAGATGGAGTGATGGAATTGGTGAGAGATGGCTTTCTGCATTGCAGGACCCACGACAGATGGGAATAGCTTGGGGAGACCTTTATCCAGAAGTGGATTGATTATTGCGAATTATTATAGTTAAGTAAAGTAGACATTCCTACATATTGCAGGCAGTGCTTAAAACTCAAAATGGTCTACATCTTGTCGACAGCGATTACCATCAGAATGCGCACGAAGACATGCCTTAACAAGACACAGATTTGGACGGGGAGCTGGTGGCACATTCTGTTTTCTTATAATCCAGTACCATCTTGTCACAGTGTAAGATTTCTATATTTTAATTCAGCCCGCTGTCTAAAAAAAAGCAAAAAAAACTACCACTGTACTAACTCTTCCAGAAAGAAACCCTCCCCCCACTGATGTAAGGTCTCTCTGGAGCTTTGTGATATCACGCAATAATCTTTAGGGACTTAATTTCACAGCCACAGACATGAGGATCGTCATTTTGTGGCATCCGCCTGTGGCCTGGAGCATTCCAGAGTCTTCGACCTGAACATGGCGTTTTTTTAACCTCATTTCACCTCCCCCGCCCCCCCCATCAGACAGTAGACGCCAGACGATAGACTGCCGGGGGAGCATTCTGGGGACAAATGTACTACACGCTTTTAAGGTGGTGTGTTTTCTTTCTCTCTGAATGACGTGGGGGTTGGGCAGTTTTAATACTCAGGCGGCTGTCTCTCTCTCTCTCTCCGTCTGTCCGTGCAAGAGGCATTAGGGCTCTTTCTCTGACCCAAAAAGTGTTTATGCACGTGAGGTTACTGTACAAGTCGTGCATGGAGCAGACGGAATGCGTCCCCGCTGCTGCAACTGCCCTGGCGGTCACCTCCAATTCCGTTTATTGAACATCACATTTCTGAAGTGGCCAAAATGATTTGTCAACGTCTCGTGGAATTACATGCCGCGTGGAGCTGCCACAGATTTCATTTATTTTGAAGGTCCATTTCAACCAAAGCGATACAATTCGAAAAACGGCACCGCGATCGCGAGCGCAATTTGAGGACACGCCATCGCAGGCTTAGAACAACATCCCTCAGAGGAAAACACTTCAGTGGGAAACTATTTTCTCAACGCTGTTTACAATTCTGATAAAGATATAACAAGCGCGTGCAATGTGCGCGTACATTAATGCCCTGGGGCAAAGAAAACATTTACACGTTGGGGTCTGGGATATGCAATACGGTATTCTCTTCCAACAATCACATATCTGCCTCACCGAAGGATATATATATACAGTACCTGCAATAGCACCCAGCGGGGTGTGGGTGGAAGCCGCCCACTTGGGGAGCATAAGTTCATTTTGCTGGCAAAGAGCTCTTTTGATTCTGAATAATCCCACCACATTGCACAATATTCTTTTGAAATATCTCGAGGTTGGTACACCCTCTTTTAACGCCAGCCACCCAAATCCGCACATGTGAATTCCAGCCAACTAAACTCTCGTAGATCAACCGCAATTCCTTACGAAAGATAAAATCCTCTTGAGGAATATGAAGAGTGGACCGTGTATTTTGTTCTTGGGAATGTGCCATCCTATGTAACGTGGATTACCAGCAAAGAATAGAATACATTAAGATTTTATATGTCGAATGAGATGGGGAAAACGTGTCTGTGTTCTACGATGACAGCAGTGAGGCACGCGTACGCATGTTTATGCGATAATAAATTCACACGTACAATCCATGTGAGGATTACGCACTGAAACGCAGAATGCTGATGAGAATGTGACATTTCAACATGAGTTATTGGGCTATTCTGTTGACTTAAAAATAGACAGGGTAATATTTAATGCACTATTGTATGAAATAGAGCTTGGACAATGAGTTAATTATGCTGATTTATTAAGTCAACATAATTGACTACTTTTTTGTGGTCGATTACTCGGACTCCTTTAACAATGGCAGCTGCTTTCATATCCTGCCTCTTGAAAGCAGGAAACCTCGTTCTGAGGCGCGGACGAGCGTGATGACGGCTGACGCCGCCGATGATGTTGCCAACCTCCGCACGTCGCCTTCCGCTGTTTCACTCCCCGTGTCGGTGAGCTGAAGATACTGAAGAAGCTCCCCGCATGTGGAGCGCAATGTCGGACACCATCGTGCCCGAAGAGATAAAAAAAAACTCACCGCGGAACCGTACGGCAACAACCGCCAAAAGCCAACGCGGCGGCAGAGGACAACCGCACAAAGAATGCTGCAGACTCACACGGAGCGCACGACGATCCGGCAAACAAAGCGGGACGGGCAAACCCGGCAAAGGCAGGAAGCGTGCGTGAGCGCGCCAGGAGACACTCCCTCACCTGGCACACCCCGCTGATGCACATGTCGAGCGAGCCGGGGCGGCACCGGGTGCCGTCGAGCACCTTGGGCGCCAGCTCCACGACCAGCAGGGGCGAGCCCCGCGCGGCACACGTCAGGGCGCACTGGCCGCCCGGGGTCGCCGCCGGCGGCCACCCACTCGTGGGAGCGGCCCTGGTAGCGCACGTCGTTGTGAGCCGAGCACTGCTGGGCACGGAAGTCCCCGGATTCCGCGGGGCAATCCTGGGAGGGGATTTTTGCGCGCGCCCACCCCCCGCACGGCAAAACGTGAACACCTCTCCGGTTTCTTCTTTGGCGCGGCCGATGTGGACGCAGAGCAACGGCTAACAATTTTGGCATTCGGGCGGTCAAGCCAGACGTGGGGAGCAGCGGAGTGGTATCGCCGTGATGTCTCCTTCGTGCTTGTGGATCGGGGCATTGCGTCGTCTATTCTGGATGACCGCATTCGCACACTGGAGGGTTTTTAATTTTCCATTTGTGCAACAGTGACCGGTGACTTATCAAAGGGTCATACTCCTTTGTTGATCCTGGAGAGGTGATTGACTCAGTCAACCCTCGAGCAGGATTTTAAATGCTGACCTTTTGATTGTGATTTGAGCACTCTGCCACCCCATGTAATATTAAAATATAAATCATTGTATTCTGCCCAACATTGTACCTTTAAAGGCCTAATTGCAGCCACTACCCGATTAGCCTCTCCATGCCAAACCCTGTCCCACATCTGTACAGCCACGACAGTTCTGCTGCAATCGAACGGTGCCACAAAGCAGAGCTTGAAAGGGCACCATTTGAGGCGTGAGCGGACAACATCGAGACGTAATGTCCCCACACCTTACGCAAATCCGAAACACATCCACGTTCTTGAAAACTCACGTTGTTGCTGCACGACTTGTATCTTATATTCCGTCCTTCGCAATTTCTGCAATGCGGTGAAAGATGAAAAAAATTTATGAAACTGTAAAACCGTGGAAAGCGTGGAATAAGAATAATGACAAATGCAACTGCGTCTCGGACACCAAATGAAGGTATGGGCATGCGACTTTTGACATCTTCATCAGCCTCGCTCTGGAGTGCACATTCCTGCTTTGCGCGATCGAAGGACACTTAATTGTGATAGCCTCTGACAAAACACCCCTCCTTCGTGCGCTTCGTAACGTTGCTTCGTGTTTACTTGTACAAAAGAGTCCCTGGCATCGGAAGCGTGAAGTTCTCACAATAAAACGAGCCTCTCCCGTGGTATGTGTGCCTGGTGAGAAATTCTTAAGTCTGAAATGTACAGTTTTCGAGAGAGGAAAAAAAAACATCAGGAGGAACTGCAATAGAATGTTCCCTGAGACCAGCTTGCATTCTTGGGCTTATCACTTAAGTGACAGCTTTTCATATCGATGGACGTCAAACCTTACCCTGCTTGCACGCACGTTGCGTGACACATTATTAAGCCCGCTATGCCAAATATCGGTGCAGGAATGCAACAACTAATGTGCAGAAAATGTAGCTAATGTGCACACGCGCTCTGTAACTGACTTAAGAGCATGTTCGGTTCATTCAACATTCGTGTTGTGTTTAAAGTTATGTAATACCAGTATGTGCTGGTTAAAAAAAAAATGTCCTCGTGTGATTTTTATCGTTCCAACGCAGCAAATCATAGAGATAAAATAACGTATGCACTGTATGCTAGACTCCCGAAGGAAAAAAAAAAGCTGCAGTGGCAACAACTACCGTGAACAAAAATTTGGGTTTCATAACAGAATATCGACAAGATGAGCGCAGCAAGCGTGATTTAACAAAGTAGCGAGTCGAGCCAGGTTGCATAATTTCTCCCGCTACCTCTTGGGAATTTTCGATGAAGTTACCTAAGTTTGGCTGCTGGAGCCTTGTAATGTTTACAAGTGAATCGTAAATATTGTAAGACATCGTTTCGTGTGACTACAGGCAGTGTGCATTGACCCCAGAGTCCATACATGCAATGCCTGTAAAGGTACTGACCCCGCTGCATTATCTCGAACAAAGTAATCTTAATAGTAGCATTCGCATGCAGCACTAGATGCTCTATCGCACACACCACGATTACGAAACCTGTAGATTCGCATTTTTTTTACGGAACAATGGATAAATAATAATTTAATAGTTGTAATTAATTGATGAACTACACGTGCTAACGAATTGCATTTATTGAAGCAACAACGAGAGGGCAGGGACTTCCATGTGATATAACATTACATGTGTGGGGATAAGGAAGATGGAAACATGGCTGTGTATGAGTTCGGACCGAATATATATTCGCATCTGTCTGCAAGACAAACAAAAAAAAGTCACGGCATATGTGCTCGCACTGCATTAAATATGTGTATCCGCTTGTCTGTGCATTTACGCTTGTCTGTGCACGTCCACTTTTACGCGTGTCTCTATGTATGTATCTATGCTGAACTTCTTTCGCACCACATGCAGCCAACTGTGCTCATCAGAGGTGCGTGGGAAGGACAACAAACGAAACGCAACGAGCAGTTCTGGGGAAATTCGTTTTAAATTTAGATTCAGAATTGCACAGCTCCAGTGACTTCCTAATATAGGAAGGAAGAGCATTCCACATGGCCGCACAAGCGCAACTGAAAGCGCGCGATGCAGTGACCGTCTTTGTTAAATCGCTCGCCAAAAGCCACTGTGAGGACGCCTGGAGTTTGCGTGATGGTTTATGCTCCTTGATGAGATCAGCGTGGTATTGTGGTTCATTTGTGGCAAGCACTTTGTGTGTAATGAGTGCGACCTTGTAACGCTGCGTCCGTTCAGCAACCGGAAACCAATGTAGCAAGGCGAGCAACGGACGGACACGGTCGCATCTTGCAGTGCAAGTGTCGACTTTGTGTGTGCGTGCGTGCGTGTCCACCCGTACGTGAGTGTCCCCTCACGTGTGCTTGCGTGCGTGCGTGTCCCCTTGTGAAGAGAGAGCGGTGTTGGCCAGAGTCTCACCCTTTATCGAGGCAGCGCCGCAGAGAATACGAGGCTCCTCCACCACAGGTGCGGGAGCACTCGCTCCACGCTCCCCACGCATCCCAAGCAGAATTGCGCTCTTCTGACGACGTGGGGTGGATCTGCCAAAAGTCACGAAGGAAAATAAAGAGGAAAGAGAGAGATGGGGTTATTGAAATATTTATGTTTCTCTTTTCCGTACACGTTTACATTCACACCAATAAACATCAACAACACCGCGCCCACACGTTACGCACCGTCGTTTTTGACACCTGCACGGTATTGGCATATCGAGCCAAAATATGATATTACTTCATTTATTCAGAAATAATTTATCATCGATAATTGAGCTGAGGGAGTCGGGCGAGCAGAGTTAAATTGATTAGCTAACTGATTCAGCATTTGGTGCAATGCTTAGCACACTGGACTCATAACCCAGATATGGCAGTTTGAACTCCTGGCACGGCAGTTGATATAAATGTGCAGGTTTCTTACACCCCTCTGCCTCTGCCCACCCATCAACCGACGGTGGGGTAAAGTGTGGGTACACCCACCTCGTCTGAGAGGCCTGGCCCATGTGGAAGAGTAAAGCCAAAATGACACCCTCCGAAGGGCAGCCTCCCCTCGTGGAGGTTCTTCCGCGAGGCAGCTGCACGAGCAAGGAATTGCAGGGCGGCACCGTTACCGTTTTTTTTATCGTTGAAAACAGCGTGATCACCCTCACGTGTAAGGGTGGCTGCAACATTCCGGTGGTGTCAGGATCAAATGGGTCATACATTGTGAACAAGGACCCTGGAGAGGAAACCAGACTTGACCCGCGTCAGGGGATTCTCTTGTGCCAAAAATTTGTCACGTGCGTAAATGTGCACCGCGGTTACGGATAAACGATATTTCTCGTGGCTAACGCAATTTGGAAAGCAGCCAACGTTTTCTCGGAAAGGCAGTCACATCGTCAAAACCTCGACCTGTAGACCATTTTTTTCCTACCTTGCAACAACACTGTCAGGTCAAAAAATAATGCGAGAGAAATTTAATTTTAGACATTCATTCCGTGATATTTGTTTTTTGTAACGTGCACCATTTTCTCCATTACCGTATTTTTCAGAATCTTTAAGACATTTCCTCCCTCCCATCCACCCCCCATAGTTTTATCGGAATCTACAAGACTCCCCACGCCCATATAGTTTTAGAGTAACAGTTTGTGGTGCAATCTTACTCTCCATTAGGTGTGCCTCGTGTGGCTAGCTTTGCATAACTTTATTTACAGTGGGTAACAGGTTTGCGATGCATCTGATTTTCTGAAGTGTCTTATAATCCACAGAAACTCGTAAGAGCCATTGTTGTTGGGGTATAAAAAACGGATAAAAACAATTAATTTATTGTTTCATTGTCAAGTAACCAAACAATGATGCTCATTTCAAATTGAAGCATCACATAAATGCAAGCTCATGAGCCAGTTTACCAGTTAGAATGCAAATTGCGTGCACACAATCTTGAAATTCAGTCAAATCGTATTTCATTAACTAAACCCCTTTTCTGTTCATAATTATAATCATGAATAGAGATGAATATATCTAAAGCTGAACAAATTGGTTTTATTTGCCTATGTTTTCTATATATACGTCTAAAAATATTTGCACATAAACCTTCAAGTGGAAGCTTTTAAGCGAAAGCACATTTTTTACCTGTTGCGTAACTGTAAAACTGATCTCATTATAAAAAGGAGCGATTGTGGGAATCCATAAGCGGCTTAATCGTTAGGGTTACTGTATGCTAATCAGGAGAACCAGACGAGAGCAAACAGCAAGACATGCCTTCCCTGATCTACATCCAAGATATATTACACACGAAGGTGTTTAGATTTAATTTCAGTGAGCACTTCAGGGCAAGATTAATGTTCATATTCTTGGAATGCAAGAGTAAACTGCATTCGTTATGGATGTAAAAAGATATTTCAGAAACAACCTTTTCCGTTGAAAATCTTTTTTTTATCAGCAATGCGCCAAGACTGCATTTGAAATACATATCTTTGGATTGTAACAAACATGACAATGATTACAATGTTACGTTTATAACAATGTTTATAACAAACATAACAACTTGACGTGTTTTCCCCAACTACCATAACGCTCCGCGAGTTTAAATAGTTTTATACGATTATCTAAAGAGCAAGGTGATGTGACTTTATTGTTTTCGGGTTATTGATGTCTAACGTTTCACTCTCCGCGTGATGGAAGCTTCTTCAGGAACTTAATTGTGAATCCCGATGATGCTCCCAGCAGCACACGGAGCGAAGCGGCAGGCATTGGAGAGCGTCAACAAAATACATCTTTCACAAACGAACCCTAAACCAAGTTATTTAACTGTCAGGGAATCTCAAGATCCAGTGCCATCGTCGCTATGTGGGTCTACTCAAGCCAAACACAACTCGCGGATTTTAAAAAAAAGTCTACTCCTTGTTCAAACACGAGTACACCGCAGCCTTTCCACGTTAAACCCACATTTGAAGTTCATGTTTAACGCAGTATATTGTTTTATCTAATTTGTAAAAAAAAAAGGATTGGTGGAGAATGTTCAAACCAGTTCTGGAGTAAAACATGAACTACATGTTGATAGAATAAATGTAATAAGTGCCAGTTTTCAAACCAACAAAATGTAATCGTTAGCCGATTTCCTGCATTGAAAGAGGAATTACTTGATCATGCATGCGATGCTTTCATTGAGAGGGTTTGCGCCGGGGGGGGGCGGTGGAGAGGAAAGAGGAGCACTGTCGACTTGACACCATTCATGCGCAAAATGCTCCGCGTTCCCTATGGAGACAACACCGCCTGGCAAAGACTCCGTTTGCTCACAATTAGAGCGTATGTGAACAAGGCCATTAAATATTTCGCCCCCACATTCTCTGGCAATGTGGCGTCTAAAGACAAATATCCCGCCCTCACCGCCGTGTACCCATGCAGTCGATTTGGCAAGTACCGTGAGCCAGCGCCGATGAAGACGACCGGCATGGTTACACGGTGGGGTATTGCGCCCAGCACCACGCCCGGCCGCCGTTTTTTCCCCAATGCCCATCACAACCAAGTGCTCATTTGGGGAGGCCCACAAAAAAAACACCGCTTTAGATATTGTTGGTTCTTTCGGTAAAGTCACGTGGAAGGGAAATAATACAATAATAAAAATAAAACATAATAAAATAATTTTCACGACGTTTCGGCCACAACGCAAGCAGCCGTCCTCAGGTGAAGAAACAGAGCCGTCGGAAAGACAGCGTCCTATTAGGAAAGACAGCGTCCTAATGTTGTCTTTCCTAATGTTGTCTTTCCGACAGCTCTGTTTCTTCACCTGTGGACGGCTGCTTGCGTTGTGGCCGAAACATCGTGAGAATTTTATTCTATTATGTTTTGATTTTTATTATTTTATTTTTTCCCTTCTACGTGACTTTACCAAAAAAACCAACAATATGAATCCCTGCAGTCACGAAAGCTTTAAATCGAAATTTAACCGCTTTAGATATTTGCAACCGATTTTGGTCGTGACTGCGACTCCAATGCGCTCTGCTCCATAATTCTCGAGCAGAGAAAACTGGCATTGATAGCTGGCAATGGTATTACATCACATAAAAGAACCATATTTTAGGTACAATATGTGTTTTTTGTACACTTATGGCAGCTCTACCGCAATGATTCAGTGCCAGAAATATTTGGCAGAGTTGCTAGCCATGTGTGAAAGATTCCACTTTTCTAACTCACTTCATTTTTTTTTAAGTAACATCAAACCAAGATCACATGGACTTGGAGTTTTTTTTTAAGATAAGACAAAAAGGGAAATCAATTTCCACGAGTGGCAGCCAGATGGAAGAAAATGGAAGAAAAGAAAATCAAGAACAGGTTGAAGCTACTTTCCATAATTGGATGGAAAAATACTTCGTGGAATTCACATTTTATATATATTTTTTTCAAACACCGATACCATATGTGAGAGAGAAACACACGCATTTCTACAATGGTAAATATTCTCAACAGAGTACATTAATTGTATTCTTAAGATAAGCATGTACTACATGAGAGAAAAACATACAACGTTTAAAATGTTAACGCCACATGCTTCCTTGAGTTTTGGGGATGATCGTACAGCGCCGACAGAAATAACTATATTTTAAAAAAATTCTACAGTATCGATTTAAAGCTTTCGTGACTGCAGGGATTCATCTTCTTGGTTCTTTTGGTAAAGTCACGTAGAAGGGAAATAATAAAATAATAAAAATAAAACATAATAAAATAATTCTCACGACGTTTCGGCCACAACGCAAGCTTTCAGACGCTGTCTTTCCGACAGACCTGTTCTTCACCTGAAGACGGCTGCTTGCGTTGTGGCCGAAACGTCGTGAGAATTATTTTATTATGTTTTATTTTTATTATTTTATGATTTCCCTTCTACGTGACTTTACCGAAAGAACCAAGAAGAATTCTACAGTAGTTAAAATTGCCACAAGAAGGGTAAAATCATGTCTTTTTTTTACCTATTCCATACCTACCAAGCCAGTAACTCACATCCCTTAGTTTTCCACGACAAACAAAACGTGGTATCAATTTAGGTGTCAGTCTGAAGTCAGTGACCTTAACATTGTACAGGCCTAATAACAGTATTTTTCTAGATACAGCAAGCTGGGGGAAATTCATGTTTGCTCGTGAGTTAGCTGCATGGTATTACCTTCTTATTCACGAGGCATACATCTCGGAGATGTTCGTGAATATCATATTTCACGAATAATGATATTGGCCTAAGAAAACCCCATCTTTTTAATGATTTGCCTTACATAAATACGTAAATAATAAATCTCATCACTTTCTCTCTCATCACTGTATCTCATCACATTATCTCTCTTCACTTTATCCCATCACTCTCGTGCATCACATTCTCTCACATCCCTTTATCTCATCACTTGATCTCTCATCACTTTATCTTTCATCACATTATCTCATCGCTTTATCTCATCACTTCATTTCTTTCTTCTCTCTCTCTCTCTTGATGCAGTCGGGTAGAGTTCCAGGCGCAATTTGTGGATGGACAAAATCGCGGATAAAGAGTTGCGTGAATAACGAGGGAATACTTTTGAGCAACC